AATTACGTTACAACATTGAAATACAAGTGAAATTTGTGTAATATTAAAACAATAATAGGTTGCATCAAAAATACTAAAACACCTCAACAGTGGCGTCAGGCAACTATTCAGTTCCAGTGTTTCTCAGATGCAAATTTGATTAAGCAAACACAACTGTGAAATACTGGAGAATCAACAAGAATCTTCTCAACGAAATGGGATCGAAATTCTGTTCTCCATAATCAAAGGGAACAGGACACCTTCTCTGTAGACAGTTCAAGGGAAGGCATCCACTACACTGCTCTCTAGCTGGCTCCGAGCCTGCCCACCAACTCTCATCTCCTCCTTCTGACACCATCTCCTCTATGTCACTCGAGGACTCACAACTCTCCACTTTCCTTTCGGGTTCCACTCGAGGGTTTGGCGAGCGATGTCACTCAACGGCCTCGTCAGCATGTGTTCGATTCGTCTCCATTCCTCTCGCCACATTTATTGAACAATAGGTTGTTGGTTGGTTTGCTCCCATAGTTCCATGTTGCTTATCCTTACTGGTCGGCCATTAGGTCTTCAGTATGCAGCGAAGGCAGCTGTTGATGAAAGTCTTCAACCTTTTGGAAATGTTTCTGGTGACGCGCCAAGTCTCCAAACCATAACACTACCGACTGTATACGAAACATTATGAATGTAAATTCTACACTACATCAATAACAGAAAATGCGTATTGTCTGACAGTACCCGAAAGATGCTAATCTCCAAGAAGCACTTGGATACCCACTGCAGAAAAAAGACCGTCTGAAGAGAGAATGTGGACTGTGAAATTTGAGGAAGTTTCATCAAGGTTCTGTTTGAATCACTCAGAACCATGAAGTTCGGTCCCTGTGTACCTCCGCTGGTGTTCCAGTGTTCATGGTATGTAATTCAGTGTATTCCAACAGATAACTAACAATGAATACTTAACGCACAAATGTTAACAGAGATCAAACATACAGGGAAACCATATGCTTATCGATCACATTACTCCTAACGTCTAGTGAATACTGATGTCTGAGACACTACACTGTCGTTATCAATACATGGAAGCTCACCTTAGACAAGGATAAATGATAACAAATAAACACAGAATCCAGTTGAACCAAGTGATAGGTGAGAAGAAGTAATACTTGTCCGCTCGGATAAATGACGGCAGATACATGTTTCGTATTGTGTGATTTATACTGATAGGTTATCCAATGTTGTTTGCGATGAAAATATATTCCTAAAATCGACATATTCCACAGACGAAATCCATGGTGTGGAGTGGAAATTCTGAGGAAATTGAAACATAAGTTGTGAATTACTCCTGCAATGCATGAACATCCTAGACTTTCTCGTCTAATTGTTTTCCATTCATATATTTTTTCAATGGTGCATGAAAATGGTGTGCCACTGAGCCTAATGATAGATATGCTGAATAAGGTATACAATCTTTGTTGTTTTTGTGATAACCAGTGATAGGAAGGTGGTAGAAATAAGGTGAGTTCATTTGCGTTTATTGATCAGATTGTGTGAGACGGAATACCAGGATAGCAAAATACTTTTGATTCAGTAGATTGGCAAATAAGGTGGAATGTTCCAAACTAAATCACTTGGCATTACAGATTTTCGGATTTGTGGACATTGAGGCAATTTTAATCTAGATTTCGTTACAAGTCAACTTCGGTCAGAGAAGCACTGAAAAACGAGGAGCATCGAGACTCTAGCAGGACTATTAGAATTCAGTGTGGAAGTGTGCAGGACTTGGACGAAACAGCCGTCCAATGCTCTTCTGTTTCCACTGATTGTCTAACAGTTGTCGGTTTGTGATGAAGCATATACGGAAATTTCACACTTGTTTACGAGTGAAACCATGTAATATATGCAAAATTACTTTCAGCTGTATTATTAAACAAAACAAGGTAAGGCTATGAGCAAAATTATTGATGACAATTTGTAGATTGTAGGAAGTCCCTATCTGTAACAGATAAATTTTGTGAAATGAAGTCTCACTGTTCGAGTCATGAAGTTCTGTCTGTTTTGATTGACGTTTTCTGAAACAGCTAGTCCATCTGACAAGTTTAGATGACTCATTCAGAATACAAGTATGCAATGGCGCAGTAGTGAGAATTGTGATTGGACTAATCTTTGGTACAGTCAAAACATCTCTTTTAACCAAAATAAGCTCCACACTTATCATTGAATATTGCTGACATTCTTCTTCAGTATACTAATTTAGAACATTGTTTTCTCAGGTAGAAATGTTAGAAATTCGATTTTGGCCTTCTCCATGGGCATTTGCGCTACCCTACTGATTATAAAACTGAGTGCATCATTTCAATCAGAATCGCGCTTTTATACAAACTCAGCACAAAATGAGAAACCAGATGATAATCCTCGCCATCTGCCGCTGATATTCATTGGAGGTCATCAAAGTTCAGGTAAATAATTTCGTTGTACCAATGCGCGTTATTTCTTATGACTTTATGGGACACTTCAGGCATGTGTGTAGATTACCTGTAGAATATTGGGGATATAGTGGAATTTGGTCTAAACGTATTATACATTATTGACCTGACATTATTTGAAAGATAGTCAGTGCAAATACTGAATTATTCTGTAAGGAATTGAATGCCTTCAATCTAAATCCCGTTGTGAGTATGGGAATCTTAACCTACATTATCCTGATTGTTTAATTGGAGACACTGTGTCGTTTGTGGGGATTCGGAACTAATTTCAATGTAAACTCGAAACCTCACAGCACTAGTTGGCTGCTTCGTCGTATTTTAAGACTGTTGAGTAGTGTGCACCCACGACTCCATCGGGGATTCCGATCCACTGACTGCATTATCACTGGGCCAGCCTCATAATCTGAAGTTGCTGGACTCGACTCCTGGTGGTGTCTTCAGTGTGCACTGTAGAGAGTCTCAAATTAGGACGAACCATCTGTTCAGTGCTCTCTTGTTTCCAATGACTCTCTAACTGATATTGGTTCATGATGAAGTCAACAGTGAAATTATTTATGGCTTCGTCGATTCATTTATTGTGAGGAATTTGGATTCTACTGAATATCCCCTTGAACAAAGTAGTATTCAGCCACCAAATGTTGCATTCACATACTGTGTAGTAGGACAGTCCAAATGAACAATCAGAGGGATTAAACACGTGATCTAGTACATCTTCCACTCATATGCTACAAGAGTTGAAAATCAACCCATTTAACTTAAACTGGTACTATCCAGCCTGTTTGATTTTGAATCAATCACTGGTTACAATGTAGCACTGTTTCATCATTCCTTAAGCTTGTTATTCTTACTTAGATTGAAAACGTTTGTCAAATTAGTTCAGCCTCAATTCTGCAATCATTTTCATTTCTATTTCATGACATTATTTTGAAATAGAACAAAAAATTGTTTCACTGTCAAATTATAAAGTACAAAATTATCAGGTATACACCAGGTTGGACATTTCTTCCACCAAAGAGAGTAAACGTTGACTTCAGTATGAGACAGTCCTTGGAAAAGTGACAGTCATCATATTCTGAATACTTTGCACTTCAGATAGTTTAAACTCACTAAGCTTAAGTAGTTCAGTCATCTTCGATAATGTTGATGAGGTAGTAAAATCACAACATACTTTTAAAGAGACATAAAATGGGAACTTCACTCCACTGAGCATTTTAAATCAAAGAAAATATGACAACAACGCAGTCAGTGGAATAGTTCTAAACAACTGCAATCTACTACAGGTAGAGAACCAAAAAATATATAGCAATTTATTGTGTTGATAGAAGAAAGTAAACCCTTTTAAGTTCTGAAAAAATACACTGCAGTTGAAGTTTAGTTTAAAGTCAGTCTCTCCAGGGCCAAAACAAACGGGATTTCACTCTGGCTTTGTACAACTGATTACTAAATTTATTAGCTCAGAAAGGGAAGAGAAGACACAGATCGAGATCAGTGCAGAAAACTAGGTGTGAAAAGAACTTTATTTTCAAAGACAGTAATAACAATAAGAACAACAGTTTTATTCTGGACAACATTTTACCAAATAATAGAGAATTTTCAGTGTATTCATATTGCAGAATATCTACTCATCGAACAGGATCTTCAAGTAAGATGGTATTCATCAGTAGATAGTGTGATGCTGTGTCATTCTATCTGAAGCAATATTAGATCGTCTACGACATTTTCCGTCATTCCCTCTGAGAATTGCACCGCATTACGTTGAGAGCACACAAAACATGTGTGAGTTTATTTAGAGGTCGAAAACCATAATTAGATGAATAACCTCTTACAAATGAAGAGGCATTTATGCATTATACTGATTGGAGATTTAGATAGACCAACGACTTAAGCAGACCACCCAAAATTACTAACAACCTAAGCTATCGTATCATCATCCCATCACAGTAATTATGTAACGACAGAAGGCAAGAGTCAGGCAACAGATCATTTATTAAGGAAATCAACGCATATTTATATATTTCATGTACATTACTATGGATATTCAAGCACACAAACACAGTCTTCCGATTGGTTGTTTCTCACGTAAAGTTAATCTTTCATCTATTCCTGACTGTTTCTTGAATGTCAAATACTCTATATGTTCACTGCATCCGCCTACGCAAAGTATGCTGTGGTCGGTTTTGAATCAATCTTTGTTCACATTTTCTCACGACAAATTACTGTCTACCAATTTGGCTAGTAGATAGCTCTCACCACAATTATATGACTGATTTTACACTGTTTTCCTCAGAAACTACCATCCGTCTTTCTTCCTTTTCATTCTTCTTTTCTTGATGATGATGACTACTAGGTACTGGTTTATTACGCATCCTTATGGATATTCATCCACTGGTACGATGTGGGCCAGAGCCGATTGTTACCAGAGAAATTATAACATACAGATTATCAAAAAATCGACTAAATGACCGGCTCCTTCAGTCTGGAATATCACAGGATGTATTAGACAATGCAGTGGCTGGTTTCATCGTGTCAATTTTACAGAATATGGGACCTCCTGCTGAAAGACTATGTCACAAGGATCCTGGGTCGTATGTTTACTTGAAGCATTTAGGTGATTTATTTCAAAACGCAAAATTTATTCACATTGTGCGCGATGGCAGAGCAGCTGTAGCGTCTACGATAGCGTAAGTTAAATCATAAAATTTGATGCGGTGGGCAAACCAGAGTTGGGAAATTAGTAGCCAATAGTTTTCAATTCATTTGCTAAATGCTGACATGTTCACCTCTCAAATGCATAATCTTAGGCTGGACGTCTTCAAAATCCATGCATGCGCACTACTGAAATGTAGGAAACTAAGACGAACCACGTATTCAGTACTCCTGGGCTCCTAACAACTAGTGAAACGTCTAACAAATGCTTAGTTTCTTCATAATGCACCGCACTAAGTGTTGATCGATTACAACTTATGCTGAGAGATCATTCAATATCAACGTCAATATGACTATCCACAACTGCCGACTGATTAATTTCAAGTGTATTTTCGTCGTCACCAACACTCTGAGTGATACGATACTAGTGATGTGCTGCATTTCCCGGTGTTTTACTTCTAAAAGTAATTATCGGGAAAATGGTTTACACAGGATTTCACATTTCGTAGCATCTATGAGCAAGTTTATGTTGGAGATAACAAACACGGACACTTATTCGAATGTAGTGATCAGTTTACAGTTTAACTCCTAAGCTAAATATGAGACAGATAATGCCAAATTTGACGTGCTAAGTACCCTTATGCCAAATCACATCTCGATCCTGATTGGAGTCACGGTAATTAGTTTCGAAATGGAAGGGAACGAGTGTTCTCATGATGCTTGAATTCCGGTGATCTCATGGATACTTCTGAGTAGTTTTCAGACTTCTGGTATAAATAGGAGTAATTCAGAAATTGCAAGTTGTGTACTCGACAAAAGAAGTAGTATGCATGAAAAACAACATGGTTCTCTAAAATCGTATATATATAAATGACAAATCTTAATTTTTACTTCATTTGATTTTAGCCGTAAAATAAATCCACAGTTCCGTTCAGACAATATCACACAAGCACTTAAGTATTGGGAAGCTTTCACTTCACATGTAATTAATGACTGTGAATATATTGGAAGGAATCGATGTTTAACTGTTCGTTATGAATGTCTTGTTTTAAATCCAAAAGAGGAGATTTCAAAACTACTCAGTAAGTGTGTACTTTAGACTGTTGTGTTGAAAGCACTTGATGATACAATGTTATGCGCCAGATTTGGGATGTTGTCATATGAGATTCTGATATGAATCTGGATATTTAGATGCTTTGCTAAACTCTCTTCATAAAACCCTGAAATCCAAATTATACATGTATCAATGAGATAATGTGGTCTTCTAAAAACTGCAAACATTTCTTCCCTAGCCAGGTTAAGTGTTTTTGAACAAGTCACAAGTTAACGTGCTAGGTGGTTGTGTTTAAGCCGGTAACCATGTAAACTATACTATTTAAATGTTATGTCAGTTATTTCAATCACCAAGTACTTCGTTATCTCTTTTGTGAATGTCAGCATGTTATCACATTAGCAGCTTATTCAATAATCTGCAAATTATAGCACAGATATTTGAATAATGTATAGAGGAGAATAAATCCTCAGTTGTTAACTAGACTATCTCAGACAGTCATTGTTGATAAACTCTCTTTTATATCTGCTGGTTAATTTTTGGTAGTTGGGTGAAATTAGCAAAATGTCTTGCATCTAGGATTCGTGCCTACTGGCACCCAACAGCTAGGTGTATCTGCAACGATGTAGGCATTGATTTCTCCTCCGAGATCCGAATCCACCTAATGCGGTACTTTTGTCAGAGGTTTGCCCAACGAATGAAGTTATGGAGAAACAACTCAGACATACTCTTTGTGTGAATCAACATTACTTACTAACTTCGGTTGTAATGTCCGTCAATCTGTCAACCAATGATATTTCTGACTGACATTTATCAAAATGTTACACTCACTCCACTATCTAATCGTCGACGAATAGTTTTGTTTTTGCATGTATTCACATAAAAATGTGATTAAACTGTTTACTAAGTCGTGAAATCATAAACGGTATTGAAGATGATCTTGAATTGGGAGAAAATAACTTTTATTCAATTTTTCTTTTATCCTTCAAGTTCCCTAGTGGAACATAGGGCTTCAAGCTTGTGGCTTGAAGTTTCTGTAACAGTGTGTATTTTAGAGGATGGGGTTGCTAGCCTCATGCCCAACCTTTTTTCTTCACCAGCATTATTTCTGGCTTAGCGAAGTAAGGGAGTGCGTCGGCCGGGGTTCGAACCCCCGACCAATGGCATGGTCGGCGAGCGTCCTAACCGCTATGCAACCGACGCGTATTCTTGTTCAATACAAAGTTTAAATTAGTGTTGTATGTGTAAGTAAGTAGGCAAGTAATCCAAACATTGAATAAATCGCCTAATCTGCCCCAACTGATTATCGTGTATAGCATGTTTAGTGTTACTAATTACGTATCAATTGCTTGTTTGACCTAAAATATATGTGCGTATATGAACTCAGGAAAACACTGGGCTGAACACTTCAAAAGACTTCTAAATCGACCGCCACTTACAAAGCGCTCAATAATACGAACAGAGGAAGCAGAACTACCAGTGGACATCAATCCTCCGACGAAAACAGAAATCCTGAAGGCGATAAAATTACTAAAACCTGGAAAGGCAGCAGGGTCAGACGGAATCTCGGCAGAAGCATTGAAAATGGACCCAGAGACATCAGCGGACTTGATGATACCCCTACTGGAGAATGTTTGGAAAGAGGGCAAGATACCTGCTGATTGAAGGAAAGGCTACTTATTCAAACTTGCAAGAAATGAGATAGTAGTTGAATGGACGTCACTGGAATATCCATAATTCATAGGTTCATGTTTTTGATACTTATGAAACTACCAACTGCAACTTGCATCACCATACTCTACCAACTTAGATAAGATACACAACCAAATTCCAGTTTTTCAAGCTCGCTTATTCACCACTACACAAGATGCTGGGTAATCATATGGCACAAATGACCTCCGAACATTAGATCTAGCCCACATATCTGCAGACTGTTGCTGATTTGATCGATTTAATATGAGTTTTCTGTTTCGTAGAAAATACAATGTGTATGTTGTCTTCTATTTTAGAATTCCTTGATCTTCCATGGGATGACCGACTTCTGCAACATGAAAAATACATTCATAATGTATCTATGTTGAACAAGTAAGTTCAATATATTTATCATATCGGTGATTGGTGATAATAGTAATAGTGACTGTGGTGAATGTACTTCTGCTAGCAAAACTAATTGGTCGATGAGGCTACACAATGCAACGTGGCTAAAAGATGACTACATAAAGAAGTGAAATCATCGACTTATTTAGCATAACATCCTCGTAAAATCTTGAGGTTAAACTGTTAATAAGCTGAACTATTTGCGTGAATTAGAATCGAATCAGATTTCCGAAGTATAGCAATTCATACTAGTCATCATGTTTTCTCCTTTTCTTCGATATCCCAACTTGGTAAACCTACTCCATATGAAGATATTTTGCTGTCTAACTGATTTTTAAATAGTAGACGCTTCGTAACCAACCGTCATTGGTTTCTGTTATAAACACGTCAGTGAAACCATGATAGGTTCGTCGTCCTTGATATAAGAATAAAACTTGTGCACTGTGGTAGAGTATAATTCCATTTCGGGTAAATTTTGTTTTGGTAAAGTCTCGCTGTGTTATACAGTAATGTTTACTGATGACGTTTCGAGCACAATTTATTGCTCATAATCATATCAAGGTAATCACACGACTTCCTAAATTCATTTATATAGTTCCATTGTTTTTCACTTGATTTTCACTTGATTTGATTGGTAGTAATATTTTCCATATTTCGGGTATGAGTGATGAATCATTCCTATTGCATGTGTTGGGTGTAGATTCGATGAACAAGGATTCAGTAATCAACCTCTCTCTCCACCTGCCTAGATTACTTTTTAGAATTTTAACCCTCTTCTACCCTATTGTGTAGTTGTGTGTTAATGCATGTATTGCAGTTGCTCAGCTTTTTTCTAAATTACTCATCTTCTCTGAATCAACCTTTCTTACCTTAGCTAAATTCTTATGTTCTCTAACAATCTGACTACCCCTGACCTACAAGTTTGACCTATGTAGTTGACCTCATAGTCATTGCAGAGTATTTTGTAAATTATATTATTTTGTCTAATTGGCTCCACTGGGTCCTTTAACCTACAGAGCTTGTTCCTGAGTGAGTTTGTAGGTTTAAATGGCACCCTAATTTCTGCTTTATTTAGAATCCTACGTAGGGTCTCAGATATCCCCTCTCAACGTAACAGTTAATAAATTAAAACCAGAGGATGTCATTCCTTACATTGTACTAAGCTCAATAGATAAGACGACAGCAGAAGAGGTTCGAGCACAATGTGCATTAACCCTGAAAAATCAAAAGAAAAAAAATCAACTTAACAACATCGGAAAGACTAGCTTTAATTAGTCTAAAACACAGTTATACCATATAAAGAGGGGACATCTGTGGAAGCGATTTTATAATGAGATCAGAAGTGGAAAATTTCAGGGACGATTGGAATACTCTTAACTTGACAAACTGTATGCATATGGTTCCTTTATTGATGATGATGATGTTGATAATAATGCATGCTAACTAACTGACTGAATAATTCACCCAGACATTCTCACAGAAGTGTATCCTTTCAGTTTGCCACACTTGTAGAAATCATGCAAAATATGGGAACTGAAACAGAACGATACTGTGATCGACAAAATAATTGTAATGGAGGAAATAATCAAATAAAGGTCACTGAAACTTTTTCAGTATCTGTAAGATTATGAGTGGTGAATTCACTTGTGTCACTACGGATGATTTTGAACCTCCTCACAAAGATTCTTTAACTCCTGATTCTCAGGATCCCAAAGACTCACTTAAACTATCTAAAGTTGCCCATGTAGCTCAAAGTAATTGTTAAACGCAATGTCTCGGTTTAAATACTAATTCAGACCAAATTGTCCATCTTAATCAATGTTCACTCATTCACTTTTCTCGGCTTTCAAACATTTCGTCATACTGAACTACTTGCATCCAGATTCAGTGATTTCCATCCTATTCTCTCCGATTTTAACTACTGTCCACTCATTTCCGCCATTTGCATAGTTCTCAAAGTGCTCTTTAAACAAATATCATGGAAATTGACAAGCCTACTGAACTTCAAGTCTAGAAGGAATTTACACTAGTTGGATTCTTTCTGAATATTTTAGAGTCGAAAATGATGCTGGTCATTAAGTGTAGTCTGAAAGCTGAAAATGTAGTTTAACAGCCTGATTTCTCCTTGAATATATTAAATGGGTAGGCTCACATTTAAAATTAATGGTCTCTGGTCAGTACTGTTAGAGATAAGAGTAGTTTTAAACACTGATACATTCTCATACATTTTCAAAACTTATAAGTTATATGAGTGGAACACGAGGCACTGTGAAACAAATCTTGACAATAACAGTGTAAACTGATTTCCAATCTCCAGTGTTCTTAGCCTTTCAAGTTTTATAAATGAAAATGAAGTAATTCTGAGTAGTTCTGTTATCGTTATTGGATTTTATTGAATTTTAAAGAAATATCCAACCTCATATTAAGGAAGACATTGTACTTACTATGTTAACAAAGCACTCCGAACTTCAAAAGTGCTTTAGGCAAGTAATCCATGAGATTCCTGAAGTAATTTATAGATCAAACACAATAACTACTTTGGTCCGCCATTTCCTATCCAAAGAAATCTCATTAAAATCATAAAAAGAAAGTGGTTTTTCATCGTACTGTTCTTGAAGACATTGTAACAATTTGATAAGTGTTTTAACTGCATGTGATGATATCGGTAATCGGATAGTTTACTGAGCTTTGTATTCCCTGTTTGACTAATCTCTGATGTCTCGGGAGGAGAATTGTTCCTGATTTCTCTGAAGCTCGTAGAGTTCCATTCAAACTGTACTGTTGTGTTGCCTTGATCAAATGCATGCCAATAGTTGTTCAGTTTTAAAGTCACTCAAATAATGGAGACTGAAAGACCATTAGAACTTTTGCACAAAACGAAGAAAATTGCTACTTATTAAAGGACATCCTGGACTGTAGATGCTTTCCATCGTAGTATTCCATATTTAATGGTAGGAATAAAACGGCGTGTTATCGCATAGTTTGATACCTACTAAGAATTCCTTTAATTGAAGAATGAAGGTAGAATTGCTTTCCACTGAAGCAAAGAACTAAATATTCATCTGGCTAAACACTTTGAATTTATCTGCTGAAGGTTAAACTACGAGAAAGGATCACCTGGTTTTCTTTTACTTTGTGTTTCTTTATGTAAAACGAAGATGAATGATGCTCATTGAAGAAAACAAAATCCCTGAATCACATACATATTCAAAGCATCGATTGGATATAGTGAAATCACATTCTGATCCATTTTTAATCAAGGTAGAGATAGTATGCTAGGTAAAAACAAGTCAGTTGAAACTGATTTCAACTCTTCCAGAGATAAACACAATTGTGAAACGGAAACCCTCTGTTTAGAGTACCCTTGTATGGCTGGTAAGCATTACAGTTTGGTGTGAATAGTTAGTGGCTACTTCAATCAGTCAGTGGAATATATTTGACTGCATTATAATGACTAAAAATTGTCATTCTTGATTCAAAGTAAAATCAATCTATCTTTCCAGGAACTTACTTCCCTACTCCAGAATAAATTGAAGTTTCATATTCAATAAATTGAAACTCTTAAATATGTATAAAGTCGGATAACAGCGATATTTCATGGTCCTATCAAGATTCCAAAGAATTCACAAATGAAAATCGTTCTCTTGTTCAGAGAACTATTTGAAAACTTGGAGTCGATTTGAAGAATAATGCTTATCGATTCTCAGTCATTTTAACATCTTCATTAATTTCATATATTTATATAATTATTCAGTAAAAGAAAAGTAAATGAGAGACTTGATTGTGTACTATTTTTATTAAACTTCAGAAACACTATTGCAAAATAAACGCATGCTAGTAATTGTATGTAAATAAGGTGTTTTTCCTGTCATGAGTATGAAGAATTCGAAATTTCAACGAGACAAATCCGAATAGGATACAGTTGAGGAATAAATAAAAGTGGCCTTCTCATTAAATGACACCTACTGATAAATTTTCTGTCTCATCTCCTATCTTCCTGGCTAGATTTTTCCAATCCGTGCGTTCCTAGTGGAATGTACGGCTTGAGGTTTCAAAGTTTCAGTAGCGGTGGTATTGCTTTTATGGATTGGAGTGTCTAGTCCATCGCCCATCCTTCTCTCTCTCTCCTGGACTTACTACAGGCCAGTACATCAGAAAAGGTTAGGGAATGCCTCGAACAGTAATTGAACCTGGCCCACCTGCGTGGTTTGTGGACCTTCGACCATTAATTCACCGACGTACGAGGCACTATCCATTAGGTCGGTAGAGTCACATATTGGCTAGCGTTAGACATTAATGACAAAACACTTTGAATTGCATGACTGAAAATGAATCAACGATGAAAGGCCCATCGTTGTATATCTTTCACTACTGATTTTATATTCCTGTGAATAATTTTAGCATTTTAGTTATTCTTTTAGCATAGTTATCATTTACAACTGAAAGTGAACATGCACCTTAACTAACTAATACATCCTTAACTTCACTTGTCTTCTTATTACACCAAGTCATGCAAACTGTATGCCACAACACAGTAGATTGGGACCAAAGCTTAGTCGTCTTACTCATCCTTTGATACAGTGTAGGGATTTTGTCAGAAAGTAACTAGTCGATCACAGAAAACTGACACTATGCACACTAAATATTTCATACAATGTCAACAGATGTTAGATCAAGACAAGGAGAGTAGATGAGAATTATTTATTTTCTGTACTGTCTGACCAATTTATGCTGGCATTTGTAGAAATAAAGTGAAATCTAATTTACAACTATATTAGGTGTAGAAACCTCTCAGGCTTGTTATGTGAGATAGTGTTTCTTTTGCAAATCTCCGTAATGATGAATACAACTATATTGTTGCCTTATGGACTTTCCTTTCAGAAAGATTATCGACAGCATAGTTAATCAACTTGTCATTAACTGCACTACATGAATTCTAAATTAAATCACCTAAGTGATCAGGATAAATAATTGTATTGGTACTGAATATATTTACAGTTATTTTGTCAATTAACTTGCTTAGTTTGGCGCTAAACACTGTTTCGGTAACCTATGATGTAGTCAGTAGAATGCTTAATGCTCATTCTCTTTTTACAAATAGGTGAGATAAAGTACAAGTCAGTGTATTGTTAAAACAGTTTTATGCTGAAGTAATTTGACTAAAACCATATTCTGTGGAGTAGTTACTCGTTGAATAACACGCAAAATGAGCATTGATGAGTCTGTCTTTTAAAGCATAGCAATTTTCAGTCTATGCATTTGTACATGTGACACAATACTAGGGCTATGCTAGTTAGACATATAAGAGAATAGCATATGATTCAATGACTGTCACCTGAAAATAATTTTTGTCTTAAAAATACAGATAACAAGTAATCAATAAACAAGGATATGAGACAGTGTTTGTTGTTTGTTTTATCACTCTAGATATGAAGCTAGCTCAGTGCAAGTTGTCAAGCCTATTCACTTGGAATCTTTAACTGCTTGGTGTAGAAATGGCTCAGTTATTCCAAAAGAATACATTTCAACCATGCATAAGGAGAGTCGATTATTGAAGAAACTTGGTTACGCTACCAATGAAATTCCACCTAATTATGAGAAATTATGCAAAGTTGACTCAGTATTGTAAAACAATGCGAAAAGAAGAGACAAGAAGGGGAGATATAGATGGATAGTCAGAATGGAGATGACGCTTATCTTGTCAATGACGATAACATTTCAATAGTTTCATTTGTATTTTTTTTTACTGTTTTTACTATTTTCATACAAAGAAATGCATATCTTTAATAGGCTGACGATTATTGTGATTGATATATTACATCGTATGATGAATGCAATCACCTGTCAGAGAAAAATGCTAAAATTGTCTGAAATACAACTTACAAATTTGTGTGTTGGTAAAATGGAATTTCGCCTTATTGTATTTCTAGAGCATTTCTATGTTCACAAGGTGTTATTTAATTTGATTGATGGCTAGCTAATCCAATGAAACCATCTCTAGGAGTTAGAAGTGAGAATTTATTGTTAGTAATTTTTAAGACTAAAATGTCTAGGATGTAAAATATCTTTCGAATATGTCATTTAGTTGTGTGGAGCAGGTGCATGAACGATTCAATGATAGAATGCACGCCGACTACTCAGGAGGTCTGGGTTCAATTCTCAGCCAACGTACTCAGTAATAACGCTCAGTTCAATAGAAAAGTGTAAGCTTTGGGAAGAGAGAATGTGTGGAGTATTTCGAGCAACTTTACCCTCCAAAAACAGACACCATGGCTAATGAAACTTCAAAGTTCGAAATGCAAGGAATGGAAAAGTAGAGCAGTAGAGCACTCTTCACTTAAAGACCTAATTCTACTGCAGCACTCAAGTGGTCATTTATCAAACAGAAGAAATCGCACATTGTACACTTTACTTATGATCTGCATAAGGCAAACAAGCAGACTTGATCAATATGCAAACTGATGCAATTACACGATTGTTCAAACCGCCGAAATGAGATAGAAGTTATTAGAAAAAGTCAATTAAGAATAAGAAAAGGCAAATTTTTCGAAAGTCATAGTACAAATAAATGGTCAACAAGCTGTCCCCATAACCTGAAGGTAGTGGATTCGACCATCGATGGGGTCATAGGTGAGTATTTCTGAAGAATCCAAAACTAGGTGGAAACACATCTCCAGCTCTTCGTGGTTTTCGATGAGTCACTGACTGATGTCAGCTGGTGATCCAACCTGAAATATATCTGTTTTCTTACACTTACATAAAAGAGAATATTCCGACCTGTCTCCCAATGGAGGTACAATTCATCTGAAGGAATGCTTCATTGAAGTCCTAGTGAATACTTTCAAGATCATTTTTAAATCAATCCGGACTGTAAATAATTATTTTGAATAGTGTCTAAAGAAATCTACTCTATCTCGCTGATGTAATATTGGTTGATATTTTGCTCGCTTAAATTCTGAATACTGAACAACTGTGTTCTTGAAATGTTCATTCAAAAGACACTGTGTGAACGATGTACTCGCTAGTCACTGTTCTGCTTCTGTAGGTGTCATAAGGATATATTTTAGTTAGAAATCAGATTTCCCTTATAAGTGAATAGAACACATAGGTAAATTAATCGATGAATTCACTTTTGGTTAAAGCATGCAGTCATTTGTGGTGAAATTATCCTCGATGGGGTTGTAGCGGTAGGTAATTCCCCAAAACCAGAGGTCAACAGCACTCAGCATCAAAAATAAGATCCGGATTTTCAACTCCAATGTGAAGTCAGTGCTACTATACGGATCAGAGACTTGCACTGCGCGTCATAAAGAGCACCTCAAACAAACTACAGACCTTCATTAACAGTTGTCTTCGCTCAATACTCAAGATCAGATGGCCGGCCAGAAAAGATCAGCAACAGGGATCTTTGGGAACGAACCAACCAAAATCTAAGATTGGCCACAGCATTCATCGCTGAATATTGGATGCTGACCCTCACTGTTTAATTCAACTTATTTGGCTGAAGGCTTCCGTTAAAGCATACACGCCATTTGGTACGCCGTCGTGTCACGTTCGTTCGTTCGTTCGTGCACGATTCCTGGCCAGTTAAGCAATCATCTCGCACTACGATTTGGTCCCGAAATATAACTCATAATTTGGAAGGTCAATTCTGGTGTTTTGCTTTGCCTTCGGTCTATGCGGAACGAATACTATAGAAGTTGTGGATATTAGATGTTGCTTTAGTATACTTTGTACTATCAGTGAACGTCAATATCTTCAACCCCTAAACTGGTGAGCCCTACCGCGAACTTCATCTTTGTTAAATACACAGACAAATCTGGAGAGTTCGTTCCATTTTGTATTTGTTCCTGTACTATTTTCAAACTATATATATTTCGTCACGAGAGATCATATTCCCAAGGTCATCCGTATTCGCTTAACTGCCAAAAATATTCAGCTGAGTCTGATTTCAGCGAACATGGGTTAACTAATAAACGTTCACAGTTCCTTGCAGTTGTTCACGCCCTACCGTGGGAATTCAGCATGTGCGTAACTGTGCAGATGTCGAGCCCAGAGGTAAGTAACTCGTATGAGTTGCTTAAAGCATCCCTCCTAAGGAAAAACGTTCTCACGGATCGACAGCGTCTTGATGAACTATTTCGTAATGTCGAGTTAGGTGATCAGTCAGCCATGAGCATGCTAACAAGAATGAGGGAAGTTATTGGCCAACGTCAGTTCGATGAAGGACTTTTCAGAGAACTTTTCTTATCCAAACTGCCACAGTCAGTACAGGCTGTACTGGTGACACTTCAGGGTGTTATTTTAGACGACTTAGCTGTTTCTGCAGATAAAATTCTAGAAATAACAAAACGGCCAGTTACTGAAATATGCTCAGTTTCCAAACAGACTTCGAGTAGGGATACTGCAGTGATAGAGTTATGCAACTCCATCCAGCAACTACTTAGGTCAAATATACCTGGTAACTCCTCCTACCGTCGTCTGAACTCCCCTCAACGACGAAACTCACGTGGTCGATCTAAATCTAAGCCACGTTCACTAAAAACCCTAACTGGTGCTGGTATCACAACACCTATGGCCAGGAAGCGAAATGTTGCCGAAAACCTTGTAATTTCGGCAATTTCTCAAATACTGTGGGAAACTATCCCGCCGGCACGCGTTAGCGGCAACCGTTACCGGTGGCACTAGCCGCCCACTTTACATTCGTGATGCAATCAACCAGACTCGTACTTAGTCGACACAGTGCGAAGTCAGCGTCCTTCCTGCTACAGAGGCAGATCGACAGAAGAAACCTACCTTCAACTTACAGCTGCAAATGGAAAACGCAACTATTAGTGGATTTTCCTTCTCGTTGACGTCACAATGCCCATCATTGGCACAGACCTACTTAATCATCATGATTTACTCGTAGACGTCCGCCGAAAACGACAGATAGACGGTACTACTAGACTGTTTATCATAGGCATCATCTACGTAGGCCATAGCTTGTCACTCGTTAAGATGAAGGCAATCCTTGATCCAACTTTCCAACTGATTGTTGATAAGTACCCGGAACTTAATTGCCCGTCTAACGATCTACCATGCATAACCAGCAATGTTATGCACCACATCACAACCTCAGGACAACCCATGACATCCTAAGCACGATGACTTGCTCCTGACAAACTACGACTAGCTAGAAATGAGTTCGACCATATGCTCACCCTTGGCATCATTCGACCATCGAATAGCCCATGGGCATCCCCACTGCATATGGTACCGAAAAAGGATAGCAACGATTGACAACCCGTGATTGCTATCCATTGCCTCATATACACGACTTGACAGCAACATTATCTGGCGCAACTGATTCTCCAAAATAGACTTGGTTAAAGCGTATAACCAAATCCCGATGGCACCAGAAGATATTCCGAAAACGGCTATCATTACGCCTTTCGGACTTTTTGAATTTCTACGTATGCCATTCGGTCTCCGGATTGCAGCACAAACATTCCAACGCTTCATTGACGACGTATTTCACTTTCTCGACATTGTATAAGCATACTTCGACGTCTGCCTCATTGCAAGTCCAGACAAGGAAACTCACCTTAGACACTTGGGCTTGGCATTCGAAAGGTTACGCCTACATGGTGTTACCACTAATATTCAAAAGTAACAGATAGGCGTTGACTCACTCGACTTTCTGGGCCACACCACTGACTGCAAGAGCATTCGCCCAGTGGCTAGTAAAGTTGAGGCGATACTGAACTTTCCAGAACCACAGACAGTGAAAAGTCTGTGCACTTTAAACGGCTTGGTAAGTTATTACCGACGCTTAACTGTACTTCCCTGATTCAGTCATTAACAGACCTTCTTCGAGGGAATAACAAGTCCATCGAACTTGACGCGTCTGCTCAAAATGCTTTCACTCAGGTTAAAAAAGCTATCGCGGATGCCACACTTTTTATATATCAGGATCAAACGGCACCGTTAAATATTTCGGTTAACGCTTCAGACACTGCAATCGACGCAGTTCTGCAGCAACTAGTCAACAGAGAGTGGCAACCACTCGCCTTATTCTCGAGGCTCCTACAATTAGCAGAAACGAAGTACAGCACATTCGGCAGAGAATTCTAACAGTGTACTGTGCAATACGCCACTTCTGACATTCAATGGAGGGTCGTGAACTCGTAATTTTCACTGAACACAAACCTCTGACGTACTCTCTGAACTCAACTTCAGATAACAATTCACCTAGAGAATCACGACAACTGGACTACGTTCCACAGTTTACATAGGATATTCGCTGTTTATCCGGGGGAACAGCACTGTGGCAGATGCCTAGTCGCGCAATTGTTCCGTCAAAAAATACATAGAACACACCTTGTGAAACTGGCTCGCATTCAAAACGATGCCGCCAGCACCAAGAAGATCAAGCCGACTTCAGTCCAAACTATTTGACGGGGGGACGAGTGTGGTGAGAGCTGGCTGCTAGCCAAATTGGTAGACAGTAATCTACTTCAATGTTTACGTTCTCAAGATTTGTCGTGAGAAAATATGAACAAAGACTGATTCAACAACCAACCACAACAGACTTTGCGTAGGCGGATACAGTTAACATATAGATGATCTGACATTCAAGAAACAGCTACAAAGAGATGAAAGATTAACTTTCAGTGAGAAACAACCAATCAGAAGACTGTGTTTGTTTGCTAAAATAATACTATAATAATGTACATGAAAATATATAAATATGTGTTGATTTCCTTAAAAAGCGATCTGTTGCCTGGCCCTTGTCTTGTTTTTACATTTGGTGTCGCTGCCTGTCGCGAAATGAAAGTCTAATGTCCTGCAGCTTTTGAAGGAGATATATGGATCTTCTTGAGGGACTTCGAAGCTATTGCAGAGTTGAATGGCGTGCAAGAGCCATCAGCGAAGACGCTTTTACTTGGAACACTACTGAGAGGTCGAGTGAAGGCAGCATATGATAGTGTGAGGCAAACAGAAGGACAAGCAACTTGGAAGTCAGTGGTTGAACGCTTGAAGCAGCAGTTTGACAACCCGATAGACAAACAGTGGGCAATGCAGCAGTTTCGCACCACAAAGCTGGGAGTTGACGGTGATCCTCTTGTATTGGCACTGACCTTGACAAGCCTACTGCGTCGCGCTCTACCAACACTGGATGACGACTCTGAGGCAAAAATGTTAGCGTCCCAGTTTATGGAGTGTTCCAGAACATATATCGCAACAGCTACATCTAGTTGACGCCGTACAGCTACTGGAAATTGAGGAGCTTGCGAAGTTGACCAGACAACTGTTAAACAAGACGGTTGCAGCGGTAGAGCCACCAAAATCTGAGCAGTGTGACAAGCAAATCGAAGAGTTGCGACGTGAAGTGGCCGCTCTGAGACTGAGCGTGCGGAGAGACCGGTGTTTCGCATGTGGCAAACTGGAAAAACTGCTGCCCGGAGAGACGACAAAGAATTTTTAAAAGATACAGTGTCTCCTTCCTGTGTTCCGAAATCTGAGGTAATAGGGTCAAGTGAATTAGGCTATTTTATCTGTTCTTGCTGCCACTAAGGAGTGTGCTGCAGCCCCAACTAGTGCACGTCATCACACACGTGTTAATTGGTAGGCACGCAATGGACAACTCAACTGACATGCTAGATACACCTATTCGTCCGAAGTACCTTCCACACTACACTGAGCCATGTAAATATCAAAAGACAAAGACTGACTGGCCTGTGACTGTTAGGATACAATTTTATTAGGAAAAACACGTCACACTTATACATTTTTACCACAACAAAATCGGCCCAGGCCAGTGGAAATAGGTTGATCCAATTGATAGGCGATTCGGCTAAGAAAGGCGAGAAATAAATATTCTGATTGGTTGGCGACTTGACCAAGACCGAGGTGAGGAAAAGATGGAGAAATTTTACAGTCATCCGATCACACGATGCACCCCATGATGAACGATACGATGAATACTTTGATATGACACTAGTACTAGTGTGATTATGTCGAACTTATCAACTCTATTTCATGAATCAGTGATATGAAAGTAAAGATTTCAATAGAGATACAGACATCCGCTGTACTGAGTCGATATTCCAAACTACTGAGGAGTTGGAGTAGCATACCTGGCATATGATGAAATTTATCATTTGAAAAGTATACAGTTTGAGACGATATTTAACCATGGCTTTTTCTATACAACACGAAATGACACCGAGTAAGCGAAAATGCAACACGACACATGCTACTGGTTAGTTGGAAACCCGTCACACCAACTAACAATGTTTGCAAATAATGAGTAGCCTTCTGAATGTTGGCAACTCGCCCAAGCACCTAGACAGGATTTGGATGCTTTAAACTAACCTAGCTCAATAGGGCGCACAGGGCGCTGGTGACCTTGCTTCCAAACAGGTGAGACGGTCACATGTTTTCAACATAATCGAAATCAGCCTGGTAAGCAGTACTGGTTGTTGGCTTACAGTTCGTCAGACATGTCGTCTCTCCGACTACAAAAATTTCCCATAAGAGAACAATCAATAGTAGATTGTATGTTGCAAAAATGCCATTCAGACTACTACCTGCCATAATTGCAAATAAATCAATTCTAAAGAGATGATTCGTTCTGTGGATGCATTAGTGAGCTGAAAATTCAAAACCTAAAGAGACAGAAAGTGAATCCGAAATTCCTTTTCTTGATGTGAAACTAACAGGTACAGTCCACGGAAACTTAAGAAGTTCTGTATGTAGGAAACCCACATTGAACGGTCAAATGATAAGTGCCTACAGTTGGGTGTGCCTATTGAACGAAAATGAAATTCAATTGAATCCATTTCAAGAGTGAATTTTATTCCTGGATGGCAGTTATTTCACAGAGGAAAGAAAATTATTCAATCACTCCCACCATGATAGTAACAACCGTGTTTTTGTTTTCTACCAATTTTATTCTCTTTATCTGTTTGTTTGTTCACTAAAATCCATAGCTCTTGAACTCTCACGTCATATCGCTTTTTTTTTCTTTGTCGCTATCTGCATCCTCTAGACTCACACTAAGCATCAAAGGTTATTCGGTAGATGACGGTTAGCGGACAAATTCAGGCAACCTATTTGGAAACTGTAAGCTACATGTTTCTGCGACCGAGTGATTCACATTGTTCTCGCTGATACCACAAAATGAGAATCATCTATCACTTCCACTCAGTAAAGTAAAACACAGTAAACTCATCCCTCAATAATCATGAATAGATGTTCAAAGGTGTAATTATTGCACTACTAATTCACTCATGAGTAAGTACTCCAAAAAGCAAAATTTATTACAGTTACCTTTTTGAAAAAATATCTATTTTAATAAGAAACACCAGTTTATATATGCAAAATAGCTTTGACATGAATGCAAACAACATTATAACCACAAAAATGCAGTACACAATGCCGAACATCTTGATAAATGCTTCTCGTCAAAATTCTCAATAATACTAGTCAGAAGTATGCGAATAATACAATGACTTTATGAAGTATAGAAACGAAGCAGAAAATACAAATAAGACAAATGTGACACTTAGAATGTTAAAAAAGAATGAAACGCCACTTGACTCTTGGAAGTAGACTACTTTTTTGACTCATCACCACGATCACTTATCGGACCAAGTCCTGCAATATTTTCAAGATGACTGCGCGTACAAGATATAACGTTAGTAGTATCTGCCACTAAAATATAATTGTAAGAGAGAATTATAAACATGGTACTTAAACAAAAACCATTTCATGATTATTTACGAATTTAAACAACTAACCGAAAAATAAACTAGATAATCTAATATAGACAATTGATTAACCATTAAAATCATATAAGCGTAAATATCCATATTTAAGTAAGTGCAATAATTATTGACTAAGTAAGATTTACGAATATCAATCACCAAAGGCAGTTAGTTAGTTGGTCAGCTGTTCACACGAAACGAAAACTAATACTTCTCCACTACAAACTTCGCCATAAATGTGATTGTAAATCAAGAATTACCTACACTGTGAATGCATGAATACCTTAAAATCACTTAAGCTTGAAGTCATGTTGAATAAATATAAAAAATTTTAATATGCTCCCCATCATGAATAACAAATCCTAGTTACAAATCCAAAAGAATATTTTCTAAACACAGTGTGATTATAATTATATAACTTCATAATTGTAAAAAGTCCCAGGCAAGACATCGACATACATTTGATGACTTAGAGTAAACTGGACATTACTGGTACAGAAAGTAGATACACCACCTATCAACTAGACGTGTTTATCAGAAACTGCTCAAGATCATTTCACACCGAATGGGTAAAAATTGCAAATGCTAATTTACTAGAGATGGATGTTTATAAGCATTTGGTATACAGAGAAACTAGTTCAGGATGACCGCTAAGAAATGCTCCACACAAATGAATACAACAATATGTGAGGAAGAAGAACACGAAGAAGAGGAGAATGAATATGCAAACACCACTATTAACTACATTTCAAGGTTAATTGGTGGATGGTGACTAGCAGTGGAATCCAGGATGCGCATTTCGTCCTATTTGGGACTTTTCATCTGGTTCAATCAATCAACGGGAAAATCCAAAATTGAATTATACACATTTAGACGGATTTGTCACTTTGTATTAATTCCCATATTAATTAAGAGAGACAAAAAGGGTTGGGCAACATGATCTTCGATTTCGATTATGATATCTGACTTCTTCATCAGCTTAGTCCCATGCTCTAATCCAACCTTAGGAATCATGACTCGTCGACACACACTTACCCAACACAACTATTCTTCGTCGCCATGTCATGGTTACAAATGCCTCCGCTCCCCTAGTTAATCACAGTTTGATGACCGTGTGTAGTGTTTGCAATTCGGTTTGCGCATGACTTGTTTTCCTGAATTCAACATGTTACAAGCTAACGTTCAAATTCAGTGCATCTTTTAGTCTCTACAGAATAACGCAGTCGAATACCTTACTTGCGGCGGACAGGAGCACGATGCTGCACCAGTTCTTTCACAGTACTGAGTTACCCTTCTTTTTGGGCAGTTTCTTCCAATCGGCAGGTTTCCTTCCTTCCTTCTTCACTTTTTGCTGTGGTGGCATGATTATGCTCGCTGAGTATTGTTTATGTGCTCTCAACTTATTTTGACAAGTGGAAGGATACGCCACAGGAACAAAAATACCTCCAGAAGATTATACATGAAATCATCAAACATTTGAATAAAAAACGAATACCGAAGGAGAATCAAACAGGAAGTAAACGACACATTTCCACCTAGCACTAGCTGTTAGTAATGTGTGTATCAAAAGCGAGTAGATACGCTTACAATTTGATGATTCCACCAATGTTTAATGGTGTACACGATACTCTGAACTAATTTTTATTTTTGTGCTATGTTTGACAAACTGAATGTACACACATACTCATACAGAAATAGTTGCAAATATGATTGCAATTGTACAACTAAATGAACGAAGTCATCGAAATGAGCCTCTTCGCTGAAGTGTTTACTTTTAATTAACAGACAGACAGGAAAATTAGGACATAAACTGTACCTAAAATCATCCCAAATCTTAATCAATCCATACAAAAGTTAAAAGTTTTCATAAAAGTGAGAATGCAGACTATCAAAATTAGGATTCCTTACAATAATGGCACAGAGGTAATGAGTTCAATTATCTCTAGCATTCTCAGTTAGCTGTAATTAAACGTGAATAAATGAATTTTGTTGAAAAAAAATATTCATATTAACTTACAATTTTTCGCTACATTATCCACACTCTGTAACAATTGATGATATTTTCGACGATAATGTTTTGCTTGTTTTTTATGAGTTTCACAGTGATGATCTGAACAAGATGATGACTTAATTGTTTGCAAGTGTTGATTACTGTTTTCGCTAACCTCCTTATTATTAGTAGTAGAAGTATCATTATTATCATTATTATTATTATTATTCAGTGTATGATGCATTTTGTGCACAGTTTGATTTTGAATCCAACCAAGTAATTGATGCAAATTTATTAAAATGCCTTTAGCTGTTTCATTATCAGACAACTGTAGAGTGTAAAAGGCAAATAAATTAAAAAGACATACAAATTAAAGATGTATAGTTATGATTACAGGATTTTATCATGAGATGAAATCGGTTAGAGAACTACTGAAAACCGGGGAGAACCGAATATCTGTGTCGTTCTATTTTGGGACTCTCCAGTGGTAAGCACCCAAGACCTTGCGGAGGACAGAACCCGGAACCTTTATTTTAAGACAGTAAGTTTGTTGATCATTCGGCCACATAGGCTGGAATTCAATAGCCGCTGAATTCTAACTTTTTCAACCCGTGATATATACCACTGCCTTCACTAATGCCTTCGATGAGCATTCACTCCCCCTTGACATGGCGGACCCTACTGCAGCTTCAGAAAATTCATCCCGTAACCATCAGAGTCCGAAAAGAGGACGAAATCGATGTCCAGTGCTCTTTCGTTCTCAATGACCTCCTCTCTAGCTGATGTCGGTTCGTCATGAAAAGCTAACAACTGAAATTATCTATTATGAAACATAAAATAGATATTTAAAGAAAAAACGGAACTGACAATCGACTTCTTAAGTATCTACGCTAACACAGAAGGTGCATTAACACATCCTTGATTTCTGTGTTAACCTTCAACAATACATAATATTCAATTTATTAATTCTTTAAGTATTTCAATCAAACTTTACAATCATACAGTAGTATTGTGGTGAGAGATGGTTGCTAGCCGAATTGGTTGACAGTAATTGAGGTCAAGGTCAAGATGGACAGGCGGATACAGTTAACATATAGATGAACTGACACAGCCACAAGAGATGCAAGGTTAACTTTGTGTGAGAAACAACCAATCAACAGACTGTATTTTCTACTAACATTAACCTACAATAATGTACATCAAAATCTATAAATACGTGTTGATTTTCCGTAATAAACGTTCTGTTGCCTGGCCCTTGTCTTCTGTTGTTACAGTATTAATTATGGTTGCTTATCAATGAATATACAATGTACTTCTATAAATAGCATATAAACTGTAATATCCAGTAGGAAATGTATAGAAAATATTACAACGCTGATTAGTGAACAAAGAGTATGAGGAATAATACTGAATCAATAATAATAATATCAACAGATTACAGTTAAAAAGCTTCTGAAAGTGATAATAGACATAAAAATGTAATATTAAACTGAGCATCACATTCCCTAATCGACTGAAAGACGAAGTACCACAGCTTGCCACCGCTACTGTGTCTATCAAATTTAACTGTTCCCCTGTAGAGCTAGTTACATTGGTTGTTGCTCTAAGAATTTAATTCTTTGTGCTCGGGAACACTTACCAGTGTGGATAAACAAAGATGTAGTTGAAACCATAAATAGCTCTATATATTATATCCTTTAGTGCAAACAGATAACAGAGAATGTAGCATTGAAGAGCTTTTTTCTATCATCTCTCGGGTACTGAATAAATTAAATCACCAAAGGCTTGTAGATACCAGACACTTCAAAACACCAGAGACCATCTCATTCGCTTAGATGAAATAAGTCCAGTCAGTTACTACTACTAGTGCTACTTTGACCTGATGTGGAACCTATAAATTCCTAGATTCTGCATCACTTTCCTTTATTTCTCTGATATTCAGTTTAATGTTATAGTGATGTATATTATCACTCACAGATACTTTCGAATTGTAATCTATCGACATTATGATTCAATATTACTTTTTTTCAAACAAAACATTCATGATGTTATGAATAATAATTCTTTTATTATTATGATCTCATAACTGTAGAAACTGATGAAGACATTATCGAAAAGAATTTTCTTTGTTCATTAATCATTCCCTAAAAAAACTTGAAAATATCCACAATCCAACGTACATTTTCTTGGTGGAATAGATTTTCCAAATTTTTTATGATTATACAGAGTAAATCAAGTGGCTTTTCATCACCATCTGTAAAACACAAAAATCAAACATTTTAGAATGAATATTATCATATTACTAAATTATACTATTCAATAGTAATAATAATAATAATACATTATAGTAACTGGTCAAGACATTTCCATTGAAAGAAAAGATTAATCAGGTATAAAATGGACCTGAAATTGATGAAGCAAAGCTTGAAAAACCTATACAATCTAGTAACAAAAATGACAATGTAATCACTCATCATTAAATCATCAATTAAAACAGTTAACTCAGAGAAAAGGTTTCTTTCGACGAATTCATTTTCTCCAGCTGTACAACCACATTTATATACAATTTTCCAAGGAAAGAAGATAGTAACAAAAGTGACGAGTTGACATAGTAATAGTTGTTAATCAATGCTAACTAATTACACAAGATGAGTTGAATAAAGATACTAAAGTTACGTAATAAGATACATAATTTAGTGAATGAGTTGTAATCAGGAAAATGTGATATTATGCAATCGTTTGGAAGAAATACAAGAGTTGTAAAGAACTAAAGACAGCCAAAACAAAGAAAGCCTCCAAAGCCTCAGGATGGTTGGGGGTGGGTGCCTTGCGCTGCGGGTTGGCCACCCCTCCGCACACCTCTTGAGATGCTCCCATATGACCGGGCGTCTTACATAGCCTCTCCTGAGGAAGTCCTACTCACTGCCTTCACGTGGCGGAGGTGTTTTTCACCAAAGTGAGAGGGCGAAAGCGGATGCCCGGCGCTCTTCACCGGGTTGACTGTCCATTGGATGACAGTCTAGGGGAGATGGCTAAACCCTGATTCCAAACCTCCAACGACTGGCGTATGAAGCTCACTGGAGCTCACCGGTAGACGTATGGACAAAGGGCTTGTTGGATGTCTTGGATGTCTGGCCCCATTCAAAAAGGCGTATGAACCGAAGTCCGGTCACCGGCTGCTAATGGATAGTGGACTCCCTACTCCACTCCTACTGCCTTGTAGGTCACACTTGGTTGTGTAAAGGCTAGAGCTGCACTCTCAAACAAAAGACCGAGCGATTCTGGGGACATCACTCGTACCAAATTCCCATGAAACTTCATGAACTCTCTTGATTCGAGATGTTCATCCTCCCGTAGGAGATAGCCGAAGTAAAGTAAAGTAAGTAAAACAAAGAAAGCAACTGTACAACTACTAAAGGAAATGAATTCGCCAAAAAAGAACCTCTTCGTTGAACTACTTGTTTTGTTGTTTTCATCAGTGTCTGGATAGGGATTATTCGTGAATTATACGATAGTTGATTTTATACAACAGAACTGATAGCTGAACGCTATTCATCACTTAATGATTTCAGATTACGTAAGACCACTTAACAAAGTTTCACAAATTATTCATTTATTCTTCTTCATGTTATGGAACTTCATATGTTTTGATATTATTAACTGACCTTTACTGACATTTCCGTGACCTATTCAGAACCGTATTGGACTGTAAAGCAATGATTAAAAGTTATGAAAAGAAAATATTCTTTGCTGACCAATTTCTTTTTCATTTATATAACATGAGTACGTTTCATAGTTTGATACGATAAGGTACGTTAGATATGAGGATGAAAAATCTCCTAGTGCATTTAATTAATATTTACTAAATAATAATCCATCAATATCTGCATTTATTTTTAAAAATATCACCTAATTCTACCTGAAAATTAAATGAGTTTCAACTATAGACTGGAATTTTCATGAGACATGTGATAATTTGATAAGATAAAGAACAACGATTCATATGGAAGGAAAAACTCACCTGAAGATGCTTGATTAGTCTGAGATGAAGACTTATCATAGTGATGAACAAGTGTAGTGCACAATTGATCCATTTTCTTCGCATAATGATTCAGTTTCAATCGAACATGATGAAGCGACTAAAAGGGTGTAAAACAATCATCATAGTAATGAAAATTATGAAGAAATTTAACATTCCAGTACACGCTGGATAGTGAATAATAATTTTTTTACAGTTTCACAAACTTCAGTAAAAAAAGAAAGATGAACTTCAATCAGATGTAAATTGCTTAAATACAAAAAGACAGTCTCTGCCACCAAAATAAATTCTAAATATATTCCTAGGGACACCCAACGGACATCTGGCCATTTAAAAAAAGCATTATCCTTCAGTGTGTGCGTCGGTGGCATAGCGGTTAGGACGCTCGCCGACCATGCACATGGTCCGGGGTTCGATCCCCGGTCACAGACGCACTCCTTTACCTCGCTAAGCCAGAAATAATACTGGTGAAGAGGAAAGGTTGGGCATGAGGCTAGCAACCCCATCCTGTAAAATAAACACTGCTACAGAAACTTCAAGCCTCTAGCTTGAAGCCCTATGTTCCACTGGGGAACGTGAATGAAAAAAAAATTATCCTTCAATGGATTGATAGAGTCACAGTAATTAGATCACCAGTAAGCCGAATTCAACATGTGACCAGCAAAATATTAGTCAACAAAAGAGTAGAATTACAGTCTAAAAATGGCAAGTAAAGAATTCTTCAAGTTTTCAGGCGAACTACACACTACTGAAACACTGAGTCTCAATATTATTCCTCGAAATATCTTGACACTTACATCATTACAAAAAATTCCAAACATACACGTAAACAATCCAGCAGTCACAAATGTCAATGAAACTACTTAATTTCGTCAAATAAAAATTCGCTAAGTTGAGCAATTGTCAAAAATCAAGTGATGAACACGTTGAAAGCGATTTCCCCAAGTAAACGAAACCTATGTAAAAACACCAAGTGCTGATGTGGTGCAAACATCGTACAACTACCCCACTATGACTTTCAGAAAAAGGTTTAGAAATCATAATCCATCGCGTTCCCACCAGTACATGTTGTAAACAAATAATGCAAAAGTGCATAGATGCAAGTGGATGTAAAGCTGAATCCTTCCAAAAGGCTAGAATGTTTTTCCTCTATATAGAAAACTTAGATTAGTGTAGAAGATATTATATTTCCGAACAATAAAATAAGAAATAGAGAAGATTCTTATCCTGAATCAAAGTAAAAAGGGGCAAGTAATCGAATGACCTGACACAACAAGCTATGGTTCGAAATCTAACTTAATATATGTAACACTGTATAAGTTTCCTGAGACAATCATATGGATGTCAAGAAAAAAACATATGTTCATTGAGGACAAATAAAGGCCTTCCGAATGCAACAACTTTCCTTATTTTGCCATTATACTCTCTCATCTACACTTTTCACCGTTTAAAACGTTATTAATTATTTCTTCTTGAGATAATGGGAAATATTTGTAGCTTGGATCAAGGGTTTATCATGACACCTTCACACCTGTCCTGAGAAGTATTATCAGCACCAGTCTCAGAGAGAAGTGAGTTATTTAGCTTGCTTTGTTTAAATTTCAGATAACTGATTTTTTTTCTACAGTAGTCATTGTTTTCTTTAAGTATAAATTCACTAACTGTCATAATACTTGAACTCTGATATCCACCATTTTGGCTTTTCTCGTATTTATAGCTGATCGATAAGCTTAACTCATTTCGATGACCTTATTGATTGCTTATTAACTAGAGTATCAAGCTTCTGGAAGTTCGAAGTTCTTCAGCTAAAATTTATTATATATTGTGGATCAGACGGTGAGTATATAGTAATCCACATGCATTAGCATGAACGGCTTTATACTATAATATTTAACTGCTACTTGCAAGTAATTGTAAGTCAAAACTAAACTATCAAAGGACTAAAGTGTGAGCAGTTTTAACCACTGAAAATGACAGATGTGTATCTAAAGCATTCATCGGACTAACTGACTGACTGGTTTCAACACGGAACTTTGCACAGAAGTGCAGCAGTTTGAGTTGTCACACTCCATATAGCCCACAGAGGAAGACAAAAGAGAAAAAAGAGATTTGAAAGGACGATAATAGGCAGAAATTTGAGGAAGAAAGAATAGTAACATGAAAAGACAATGTTATGCCCTATGTTCCTCTAGGAATTAAAGGAAACAAATAATAATAATAAATGCCAGGAACTATGACCTATTAGACTATGAGCGAATACTAACTTAACGCGCTGGCTAATCTGTCCTAATCGCACGTTAACAACAACAATAGCACAGCAAAGACAGAAGAAAAGACTGGACGGTGATAGGAGAGCTTTTACTGGCTCAAGCAACAGTCAAAAAAAGGTTGACAGCACTTGCGTATGTACATGTTTAAAATGACCTTGAGAAGTACTAACGTCACTGATTAATTAAGACTGTGAACAAGCAATATGATTTCAAAAGGTCATAATTAGGGTGACAGAAAGTTAGGTCATAAATCAATAAGTAGGGTGAGAAAATACAAACAGATATGTAAAAATAACATGTAGAAAATTAGGTCTACATATTAGACAACATGATTTTATTGGATATGGCAGATCACAAAGAGTGAATACATCTGCACCACTGAGAACGATTTTGACATATATGATCAATAGTCCCCAACCATTAGTTCTTAGAATCATGAGGATTCGAACCAGGCGGTCTACATCTCCCTACGTGACTCAAACCAACTGTTAAAGACTTCATAGACTGACGCCATGTATTCGTTAGACCACCACTAGCATTCAGTTAAAATTAATCAAATAAACAGACAGGATAAAACTTACATTGTCAACAAGAAAAGTACAGCGACATAATACAGAAGTGATCTGACAAAACAAAATTTACTTCCAGGGTACAACTTACCTCAACGCAGGTTTTCATATTATCTGTTATGTTTGGATTTATTAGAAGACCAGAAAGTGATTGATCAACTAATCCATTGTTAAAATGCGAAAACTTGACAGTACTGTCAACCATTGACTGAGAATGTGATAGTGAATACGAAGTTGTTTGTTGTTCAATATTGTTTAAAACACCCAGTAATGAGTCTTCATTTGATGAATTCAAAGTGATTAGTTTCTTCAATTGAAGTGTTGTATTATGTAGCTCAGGCAACAACTTGTTCAGTTGACGACAACGACTGGATTCCAATATGAATTTTATTTTTTGAAGGAAAAAGTTGAAAAAGGATTATAATGAATAAATCCCAATGACTGCAAGTATTGATATACCGCTTAGAAATAATTTGCGTATGAGGTTGTTAGGTTTGTAGCGAATTCAAAGATTTCTTCATGAACAGACATCAACTAGAAAACAATTGAGAACTATGGGATACTAGTTAAAGACTCTTTAACAGTGGTACACCTCGAACACACGCTTATAGTTCAATGGTAGAATACCCACCAGCTACACACACAGTCCAGGACCCTAAGCCTCGGCCAAGTCGATGGGAATTCCATAAGAGAGGGAAGGTTGAGCATGAGGCTAGCAACCTTACTCCATTAATACACAAACGCAACCGAAAGTTCAAGGCTTAAAGCTTCAAGTCTTGTATGCCAATCGGGACGGAAAGGAATGCATGAACAGTGGCACACATTATCCAAAGATCACATGTAAATTAACATTTATATGAATACGACGACCTTCACTTAATGGTGATACCGAGCAGCAGTGAAATAACTTACAAGATAGCACAATCACTAGTTAAACATATATAGATCCCTAGAGTGAGATCTTATGTGAGCACTGACAGAGTGAGTGTCTCAGATTAGGGCTAAACGTCTCTTCAGCACTTCCGGTTTTCAGAAATTCTCTAATTAATGCCATTTCGTGACAAAAATTTACATCAGAAAAAACTAAATCTTAACAAACCTAACTTCTGAATATCATAAACTGGCAAAAGTTGAAAATCATGAGCACTAAATAACGACTCAGTGACTGAATAGTAAAGTAGCAAACATGGTCACCAGAACTTGTGTCCGCCTAGCATCTCACTCTTCGCACTATCGAAAAATATTGCTTTAGTACGAAACATATACTCATTGCTCCTTAAGTTTCAGTGGTTTTCGAAGTCAATACTATCTGACGTTGAACAAGATACTGCAGAGACTTTTTTGCTGAACAAAGACTTCTATCACTTAATATTTAGGTAAGCTGATATTTGTGTATATCAACTGCTTCTAAACCAATTTTATATTTTATTCAGGTATTCCATATTATAATCAGATTTTGACGAAACAAAATTTTGAACTTACAGAATAACCAAAGTATATCATCATGTGAGGAGGCGTAATATTTGGTTCAAAATAATAACATGTGAAGCGTATGCATTACGGAGTAAGTAACTTGGAATACGAATATTATTAGGCGTAAAGGAATTCAAATGTGCGTCGGTGGCATAGCGGTTAGGACGCTCGCCGACCATGCACATGGTCCGGGGTTCGATCCCCGACCACAGACGCACTCCTTTACCTCGCTAAGCCAGAAATAAAGCTGGTGAATAGGAAAGGTTGGGCATGACGCTAGCAAACCCATCCTGTAAAATAAACGCTGCTACAGAAACTTCAAGCCACTCGCTTAAAGCCCTATGTTCCACTGGGGAACGTGAAGGGAAAAAAAAGGAATTCAAACAGATTATAAGTTTACTAACAAATTTGTCGTCGGTATTCATGTAAGATTTCATAAACTACAGGGTTACAGACTGTAGAGTGAAGCACCCGAAAATAATATTTCTCAAAATAACATTATGTATTCAGTCGCTCATAACACAGATAGAAAAAAATCCAAGATTTTTATATGCTTACATGCACACATCATTCTGATGAGGAAGAGGAGTTAACTCGTCATTGTGTATCAAAGACACAGGATCATCAGTATTATCCAATGGAGTCGAATCACAGGATACCGTACAGTCTGTCAACTGCTCTAACAAGTTTTCTGTAGAAACACCTGGTGTAGGTGGGCAACGTAATAAAGAAGCTGCTGTAGAACCAAATATCCTATTTGTATGATTCACATTTTCTTCAGTGAGAGAATTCTGTTGAGCAGCACAACCTCGATGTTGTTCAGTTTCTGATGTTAAGCTAATAAAAAGTGATGAGAAAAAAGTCAAAAAGGTGGAAAACTTATCTTAATGGACGTGTACTAAATGACTCTTAGTTTGGTAAATGATGAAAATGATTGAATAAAACATAAATTGAAATAAAATGATAGAACAGCAGTAAGTCGGTTTGGATGTTAATTAATTTAATGCAAATTTCAAAACACCATATAATATAAAGTAAACGTCAACAAAGTGACAACGATTCTTGTCTCTTACAACTGTGCCCAGGTAACTATCTGTTCTCGGTCAGCACTAACTATAAATTCAGGAAGACAATATCTCACGTCAACGATTAACACAAATAGACTACTTTGCTCCAAGTTTCTGATATGGAGTAGAGAGGTTAAAGCTCGCAACTTCATTGAGAATAGGTGAGTTATTTTACGCAATATACATGACTGAATGGAAACAGAAAACACGGAATTTCAGAAGCTGAACATGTTTGATTAATAGATAAGAATTTCGGGTATGTATTTTGTAAAGAACAATCGTTCACTTGAGTGCGATAGCGAGGTCAATCATGAAAGAGCCTGAACCATATCCCACTTTTCAGGATAAATGTAATTTCCAATCGAAAATTACAAAACATGAGTGATTTATTGAAGCATCAATCGAACTGCTTGCGGAGGGTTTCACACATCATGAATACACACACAGACAAGGAAAACCATGATCTGTACAGTCACTTTTATTACAAGGCCCTTAACCGTTTTCACTTGATATGTAATCCATCTTCATTCATTTTTTTTCGTTGTTTCTAAACTCCTAACCTTAAAGTGCACCTTGCACATATTCTGAATCTCCTACCGTTAAGAACAATATTCTTGTTTCCAAGAGTTTACAGTTTTAATGACAATGAAATTCTGAACGATATTCATCAATTACTGTTCTTACATTATGTAAGAATACTTAACCAAGTTTCATAACTTATCCTTTTTTCCTGATATTTAATCGCATGTGTTCTGTTACCAATTGCTATTAATAATTAACCCTTACAGGCATATGCATGACATTTTAAAACACTGTATAACTGTACAGTTTGGAAGTGAAGTTATGACCTGTCCGTTTCCATTTATACTACAAGCTTATTCTTCTTCCTGTAAGTGTAGAAATTGGACACTGTGGCCAAATGTAATACCATATTAGATAACTTCATTTCAAATATCACACAGTGATATAATATCAGTAACTGGATGACGTTTCGAACATAAATTATTGCTCATAATCATATAATTTAGTCACACTGCTTCATAATTTGCATTATATATATATATATATATATATATATATATATATGGTTATTTTGCATGTGTGTGCACATTAACTTTGTCAAACGAAAATACAATTAGTAAGTAATACAAAAAGTATTCTGAGGAATTGGATATTGATATAAGAGGGTAGTAAGTGATGAGTTATCATAAACTATTGTTAAGGAAGAGTTACGTAATAACATGAATAGTTTGACGAGATTTATGCTCAGGGTGAACATGGAAATAAAATAAAATACGGAGTTATGTAAGAGTTTTAAAGGAATACAAGAGTTTTAAGTAGTTAGAAAAACAAGCAAACAAGCAAAAGTTAAGTCAGATCAACAGAGTTGTTACCATGATAGCAGAAGTGGCTGAATAATTTTCTTTTGTAGGCATAGTTCTGGTTCTTATAACTGAATGGCTAGGGCTTCTGCAATGCAAAGATAACGGAAACGTATTGTCTTTGGCAAGTTGTTCTTCACTTTGTAGATTAATCTGAAGGAGGCGTTTGTTGAGATGGAGTGACCAGTGGTAATGAAATGTTTGATTATTGCACTCCTTATACGACCACTACTTCCTTTCTGCAGCCACGCTGGATAGTGCTCTTTAACCCTTTTTGACAGATGTACCTGGTTCCACAGCAACAGGTGAACTGATATATACACATAGAGGTGGTCAGGTGAGAGATCTTGTCCTTCTGTAGATCAGTGAGCGACTGGAGAACACTACTCTTAGTGATGCCGCGACGAAAGTTCTTCTTAAAGAAGTGGAAATTCTCATCTTAAGGATATCACTGAGTAGGTCGTTTTTGAAGTCGAGGTTCATCCACTTACTGATACTATATCACTGCGTGATATTTGAAATAAATTTATCTACTAAGGTATTCTTCATACTTACCGAACTGATGAGTCAGTAACACGAGCATTTCCAACCATCGCCTTGGATGAACAAGACTTCAAACGAGCAACATCAGCTTCCAAATCTCGAATTCTTTGATTTTTCCGCAACACCTGTGAGCAAAGATTCAACAAAGAGGTACTGTAATGACTATTTTTCAAGGTATAAAATACCACAGTAAACAGTTAAAATGTATTGAGCGATTTACGAAAAAACTAATTTTCCTTAAGCCAGCACTACCTGTTATGAACTACAAAATATGCATGAAATAAATTTGAAAATCACAATAAAATGACAATTCTGATGTTACATCAGTTAACTACACTGAAACAGTGACATTTATCTATACAGTTACTCTTTTGTGCGAAGTGATAACATTCATTATCAAACTGAATTAGACAGCATTTACGTAAGAAATAGAAAGTTATAAGATAAACTAATGAAACTAACCTTCTGACGTAACTCCTTAACTTCTTCGAGGGTTTTACTAGCTCTTTCCTTGTCTTGTTCTATCACACTTCGAAGTCTATCGATTTCTTTCAAAGCAACTTCCAGCTTTCTGAAATATACAGAAAATCATAGAAACGCTCATTCACACCATATTACCTCACATAGTAATAATGTACACAATATAATCTACGACATAATTGTAAATTTGTTCAAATTGTCATATAGAAAGGGAGTTATGTGTCTGGTTTCCAACGCCTATTCTCGCTGTTTGATTTTCGTTTAATTTATCCTCTCACATTTAGTGCGAAATCTTTCTAGAACGCTTACGCAACTTTTAACATCTTTATTAGTATACTGACTTCATAATACATTTATGATATGCTCGATCCTTGTCCTATGAATAAGAGAGATTTAAATGACTTATGAAAATTAATCAATCGCATCGAGTCAATGTACTTCGAGTTCTGAGCAACGTTCCCATCAAACCTAGTTAAATTTTTGAAAAGTTCACCATTTCAGTTTAAAACCAGTGGTTGATTGCGGTGAGCTAATGGGAATATGTAAAATTAATATATGTAAGATATATTTAGGATAAATTTAAAAGATTTTTGTAATTGTATCAAGTCATAGATGTGAACCGTGAACCAATGAGATAGATTTTTTGCTCGTTTTATATTATCTGATGTAGTTTTTTTGTTGGATACAACATTCTCCTTGTATTCTACATTTAGAGAGTGACCTAGCTGTATAATATGATAAAGGTTGAGAAGTCTGAAGGGATCTGATGTGTGTTTGCTGTTAGTGAACCAACTAGTCACTCAAGTACAACACAGTTTAGTACATACATTGGTGTCATATCCCTGAGTCACACTGCTTTAAAACAGTGAGGTTTTTTTCTGTACAGACATTTGGAATAGTGTAAAACCTTAAGAGGAAATGTATCTATCCAAGTTTCCGTGTAATAACATCAACAATAATCTCAAAACAGAGAATGCGTGTACAGATAACGAAAAGGTAAAAAACAGTGGAAAAATTGATAATCACAAAACGATGAATGGCAACAGTGTAGTGAGAAATAATCCATATTACGTAGTAAACAGAAAAGATTAAAGTTTTAGTCTCTAAATCAACTTATCAAAGCATTATCACTAGAATTTTAGTTGAACACAAAGGTAATTTACTGACTGACTGATTTCAACGTAGAACTTTGCACAGTTCTGCAGCAGTTCAAGTTGCCACACTCCCTCCATGTAGCACACAAAGCAGGAGAAGAGAGTAGAAAGAGATTCAAAATAGAGATAATAAACAGAAATATGAGGCAAAAAGAATAGTAATATGGAAGAACAATAGAATTTTATCGGATATGACAAATTACAAGGAGTGGATGAATCTGAGCCATCACTGAAAACGATTTTGAGCCGTATCACCAATAATTGTCTCCAGCCGTCATTGTTATTCAATCTGTTCAGAAGACTCTGCTTAACCTGGGACTATATCATCGGCATGTTCTAAGTCAACAAGATTATTCCCTGGTAACAAGTCAACACCTGAGTCGCTGAAGTCAGTTAGGGTTAAGTCCATTAGTACATCTACGATGAAATTGAACAGAAATGGGGATAGTGGGCATTCCTTGCTGAAGGACACCACTAGTTTTCACCACTTCAGATGACAACTCGTCGTAGGCTCTCACCTGGCTGCATGCGATCGAGTTAAGTGCCTTGATCAGTGCAATGAATTTTCTCGACACTCCCTTCACAGCCAAACATTGCCATAGTACCTCTCGGTCGATGGAATCAAATGCCGCTTTCAGGTCAATAAAAATATGGCAGTTGTTGGACGCCGTTCCAGAATCTGTCGAAGGGTGAAGATATCATCAATACACCCTCTTCCTGGTCTAAAGCCTGCCAGGATCTCTCGTATTCGTTCTTCCTGAGCACCGCTTAGTCCACGCATGGTTATTGAGCCTAGAACTTTAGATACCATATTAGTCAAGCTTATCCCCTTATGATTATCACAGGAAGACTTTTCTCCCTTCAAGTATATGGGGATAATCAATGACTTACACGAACCCGACGGGACTACCTCTGATTCCCAGACTCTGCCTAATACCTTAGTTAACGCAGACAGTAAAGTGTCTCCACCGTACTTAAATACCTCTGGAGTCATTCCATCGGGTCTTGCTGCTTTGCCTCGTTTCAGACTAGTGACAGCTTTTGTAACCTCAGTTAGGGACGGAGGACCTATGTTTATTTCCCATTCGGGGAGGTGTTGAGTGCTGGGTAGGTTGAGATTGGCTGTAGGTCGACTAAATTGCTCCTCAAAGTGTCCTTTCCAAAGTCCTAGTCGTCTATCCTGGGAGCTAATTATGGTGCCATTTTTCTCAGAGATTGTTTCACTTATCGTTTGCCTTTACCACCTGTTTCCCTGATAAGTCTAAATAGTTGTCTGGTGTCACCTATCTCCGATGCCTTTTCTATCTATCACTTTTTTGTCCCCACCACTATTCACGGTCGTTGTGAAGACTTCTTGTTAGTTTGCGTTTAAGCAGCTTTCGCTCCTCATCATAATCGGAGCTCGCCAGAATCAGTCTGCTTACCTTAATCAGTTCTGAAGATATGGTAGAAATCCACTGGCTCTTACTAACTTTTGGTTTTATGTTATTAACAGCCTTTACAGCTGTGTCCACAGTTGACTGTATGTTGTGCCAGGCTTTCTCCAGAGGAGTCTTGCTGTCAACCTCAGATACTCGTTTCGCTATTTCTTTTTATTTAAGTGTATGATAAGTGTATGACCTAACAAAGGTATTCAGCAATACAGAGAATAATGGGAGATTTCGTAGACACATTTTACATAATATACCTTATACGAAAGAACTCAAGCGAAAAAAAGGAAGAGTGAAATATATTTCACTTAATGTATGAGTTTCCTTCAGAAATTCTAAGAGTAAAGGTCCAAGGCTGAAATTCAACAATATAAGTATTCAAATAAAAATTATGTATCCACAGGTTCAAAATCACATATTTATGTCAAAAATCCACGCAAGCCAATATTACCGTATCTTCTAGAATATCATACTACATTAGACCTACAACGAATTTGCTGAAGTGCACAAACTATGAAGACTTTGGAACAAACAATACACATAATAAGGGATTTAGAGAATAAACTGAGTCAGTTGACAAAGAAAAGGAAAAGAGCTAACGAACAGGGAAAACTTGTGCAAATGACTATCACAAGAAATACAGTTTTTGTTTGATTCTAGACAATCAACAATAGATAATAATAATAATAATTTTTGTAAACTTACTGAGTACGACTAATCAGCTTATTCCTAACTTCAAACGCTGCTGTTTTTAACTCAGTGTACTTTCGGACGCTTGTCATAGGCTGAAGATTATCATTCAAGCAGATGTCTTGGGGAAATGTTTCTAGTTTATCTAATCCAGTTACTTTGATATGATGTTCATCGTACTCCTTGTTGACAATTTCCTCGCTAACCGACGATAGATTATCAGACATTTTAACAGAATGAGATTTATTAATTGCCAGTTGTTTTACACCACCTTCTTCACACTCTTCTTTTACTTTAGTCTTACATTTATCATTGAGGATAGTGTTCAGACGTGTACATAACTCTTGTATATCATCCTTTAAGTTAGTAGGTTGCCTTTCTAATACACCTTCAATCAATTGTTTGATAAATTCATGTTCTTTTTCATACTCCACAGTTTTTGAACGGGTTATGCTTAATTCCTCCTTAAGTGCATTCATTTGTGAATTGATCAATTCATAGTTTTCTATTGGTACATGTGAATTAATTACACTGGTTAACTCATTTTGTAAATTGTTAACATGATTTTGTGACAATTGTAATTCTATGTTCAGTTTATCCACAGTGGTTTTAAGATTTTCATACTTTTGAATTGATTGACATAATGATTCTTGAACCTGTGCATAATTTTGCTCTAAAGTTTCGAAACTACACTTTTTGTCGTTAAAAACATTGATGAACCAATTTACATAGTCAGACAATGTGCATAAGCCTTCATTTTTGGGAGCTAATTCTTTGATCATATTTAGTGCATGAATCTTATCAGACTGCAATTGATCAATAGTTGTTTTACAGTTGGCTAGACTATTTTTGTACACTACAATGCATTCGTCTAATGTTTGTGGAATTGAAAATGAATCATCAGTGTTGAACAATTTAAGTGTCGACTGCAATTCTGTAGTCAGACAATTTAAATGAATTTCTTGGTCATTGAATTTTTGTACAACAACATTAACTAGCGCTTTTAAGGATACAGAGTCATTGATTGATAATAAGGGTAGTAAAGTATCACAAACATATTGAACATCCTGTTTATATTGATCAGTTCGATTAAGTGCATGTTGAAGTTCTTCTTTCAGTGAAATAGCTTCATTTTCTAATGATTGATAATCATATAAAGATACAGATTCATTCAAACATTTCTGAAGTTTACATATTTGACCTTCCAAATTCATAATTGATGTTCGCGATTCATTAAGCTCTGATGCAACAATATTAACCAACTGAATTACATCTGAGCATTCACTACCAAAAGTAGATATAGACTGAAGACGTTCTATAACAGTATTAATGATTGTAACACGATTTGATAATTCAGTATTCAAGACGTCAATATTATCTTTAGATGCAGCTGATGAAAGTAGATTACGCAAACGATCACATTCATTTCTTAGTTGTAAGTTCTCTTCTTCATATTGTGCTAACGCATCTGCTATTTCTTTCACATTTTGATTGATAGACATATCATGCCGAGAAATAATGGAAGAATTGTCATGTTTGGAAGCAACAATTTCATGAGAAATATGTTGACTCCGATTTGTTGTTATGATTGAGACGTTCATTTTCTCTTGTAAATCTGAATTAGCCTTCTACAAAACATACATATATATCAACAATAAAGTTGGGCGATTAAGTTGTCATAAATAATATATGTTAAGCGTAAAACCCTAAAACAGTAGTCGAAGATGATACAGAATACTAAATTTAAGTTTACCTATTCTGTGCATCAATTCAAACCATAATCGAATATACAAATAGAAAATAATACTCAGGAGGAGGAGTAGTAAAAACAAATAATTCTCAGAAATTTATGAACAGTAAGATTTCACATGCCAAAATCTAAAAACTTATGCATTACGACTGTCGACTACGACGCATAATTGATTAGTTCAAGTAAAAAACATAAAAGCGGAAAACTTAAATGTGATAACTGATGAGTATACAGTCTGACATACTTCTGTTTTTAAACAAGATTGTATAGAGTTGAACGTAATTACAGTCGTATTTTGTTATTTGAAGCATATCATTCAGTGACAATCTATTCAGTATCCTGAGCATATATTTTGCACCAACTCACAAACTGCCAAACTTTTCGTCTCGCTCCACTTCTGCCTACATGCTTTCATCTCCTCTTCACATAACCGAATCCATGTCACCCTACCCTCACACTGACGACCAACTAGCCACTTCCCATTCGGGTTACACTCGAGCGATGGCCTGGCGTGTGATGTCACTCACTTGATGGTTTGTTTTCTCAGACAATGGTCAATCCACCTCCATTTCTTCCTGCAGATTTGTTGCACAATTGGTTCCTGCTGGGTTGGTTCGCCCCCAGAGATACCTCCCAGAGATCCTCCCTGTCGCTGATCTTTTCTGGTCGGCCAGATGATCTTGAGTATTGAGCGAAGACAGCTGTTGATGAAAGTCTGTAGTTTGTTCGAAGTACCCTTCGTGATGCAGCGCCAAGTCTCTGATCCGTACAGTAGCACTGACTTCACATTGGAGTTGAAAATCCGGATCTTATTTTTCATGTTGAGTCAGTCCTGTTGATCTCCACACAGACTTGAGAGAAATGAAAGTCTGTCTTGTTTTCCCGATCCTCACTTTGGTATCCCCATCAGTTCCGTCCGCCTGTAGTTGAAATGGTGCTTCCCAGACAGGTAGGTGAAGGAGGTTGCTTCTTTCAGATTTCTCCCATTTATGCTGATTGTTGTCTGTTGTTGTTGCTGTTGCTGTTGATCAGGAATCTTCATCACCTCTGTTTTCTCTATGTCCACCTGAAGTCCTATCTTCACTGGATGCTTCTTCTGCCAACTTGTTGCTTTTCACTTGCATATCTTCCAGTTTGTGGGAAATCAGACATATATCATCGGCGAAGTCCAGATCCTCCAAGTTTTTTGTGTGGGTCCATTTTATGCCTGTTTCCTCGCTGCCCGCTGTCTGTTGCATTATCCAGTCTACCGCAATCAGGAAAATCATTGGAGATAGTAGGCAGCCAGCTTGTCTTACTCCCGTCTTCACTTCGAAGGATTCCATGAGTTTCCCGTTGTGGATTACTTGGCAGAAATAAATAGATATCCTGACATAAAAGACTATGGGCTAGAAGTGTTGCCTGTGATCAAAACACAGCAAATAATGATTAAACGATGACTAGTCTATACTGATTATGAGCAAAAGCAGGCACACACAACTAACTATTTAACTTAAGACTGTAAACGTTGCCTAGATAATATTCATAAATACACTAATAACTGAATATGGTAAGGTGAATATAACTGATAAACAGTATCATACGATACATTTCAGTGTATTCATTCAAATGATATTGAGGTGGCAAAACATAAAAATGAAATGTACACCGATGCAATGGATTTCAAAGTTAATTTGTTTATGGAAGACGACACACTGGTAACTATTCGGTGATTCAGCCCAATTTAATAAAACACCTTGAATAATGTGCAGATTATACATCAAGCGACGAAAATCGATTCGATGATCAAATTGAATTTTGAGTACTGGATTATGGGTTGAACTAATTTTGTGAAACCAAGTTCCTTTTAGCTATCAAGCATTTCTAGCTTCGATTAATGAGACGGGATTCGCACTTACAACTGACAAGGTTCTAAGCCAAGCACTTTATCATAATAAAATTTACAACCAACCCATGTGCTAAATAAAAGAATAGCCAATCAATATTATGTCTTTTTAGAGATTAGAAATACACACTCACCCGAAGTGACGAATTCTCCGCTTCTAGGCTGATCACTTTATCATTCAAATTTCTTAGCTCGTGTGCTAACTTTTCGTAATCATCATGCGTCATAGCAGTAGATCCCTTGGAAACTTGGTTAGATTCGGTGAAAGATATATCACTTTGTATGTCAGACAATATAAAATTTTTATCCTGAGATTTTCTGGATATATCCCTTAAAAATAGATAGATAAATAAATAACATTCACAAATGCTCATCAAATTTATAAAATGATAGAGGACCACTTATTTTCAAGTATTCATGAAGTCAGAAAATTTAGGGAAAACACAGTTCAGATGTTATCACAAATTAATACCGGCCAGAAAAACCTTTAAAGACCAGGACAAAGAGTTATGACTTTCATGAGGTCCAATTTATATCTTTCATTGACACAGCACACCGTTGCAATGAGTAGGATAGACAAAAAACCAAGAGACACTAACGGAGAAAACATAGCACTACCGCATAGTAGCCAAAACTCGCAAAACTTGAGACCCACAGGTACCTGCAAGCTTGAAGTGGATGCCAGGCTCGCAGATTACAATAAGCCAAGCTGGAATAAAAGTCATGTAGGATCTGCAATGGCAGAACGGTCAGTAGGGTAACTGAAATAAAAAAGCACTCAACAAAACCACCACCGTAATAATAATAATTAATTACACTATAGTGGTAGTCTGAAGGCGACATCATACTGCTCGAGAATAAGGGTGTAGCGATGACGGAAATTCTTTCTCAATTAAAAATCAGAAAGGACAGACTGTATTCCTTCTGTGAGAAGGTGGAGTAGGAAAACGTCACTCCCGTAAACTGTAAATACCACTCTTATCCTACGGTGCTTTGTATTTGTGTGGGCGAGACATCACCCCCAGTCAAACCATATGTCAGTCACTGACCTGACCCAGGCAGTTGTCGTATAAGTCCTACAGTCATGAGAAACTAATCCTTTCTCCATTTCGGGCACTCAAGGAAGGAACCAGCTTATATGATGCAGGCACTCGGGTAGTAACAGCCTCCTTGAAACCATTAGTACCAACCTGGGACAGAAAAACACTGATTCTATTTTCTTAAAACCACACAGCCAACTTCATATTGCAGCTTCCAATGTCAGAACTTTATGCCGAATCGCACAACAGGTCTCACTAGCTAGGATTCTGGTATCTCGGACTATGAATGTACGTTGTGTGGGAGACACACATACACAGACCCAAATTTGGTCGTTCACCAAGCCAACATAGTGAATCTATAAAATTCACCTAACGCGTGTCAGGAGATCCTTCATCTAGTTCGCATGTACTTGTTGGTGTAAGAGTAGCATTAGTGCTAGAGCAACGAAGTCCTTACTTCACTGGACTTCAGTAGATATTCGTGTGTGCTGTCTATCTGAACGAATCCGTTAGAAGAACGAGAGATTTTGATACCCATCAATGTCCTTCCATAATCAACAGAATGCATTTCGAACGAAATAAAGGATAAGTTTTATCGAAGGCTGTCTTGTTTGCTACTGAAAGTAAAGCAAACATACATACTCATTTTAGTAGGTAGTTTTAATGTTAGAGTAGGAAAGCTGTGCCCATCAAGAAATTATACGGGTGGCACTTATGAAGTCTTATGTCAACGAGCTAATAACGGTAAGCGTCTTTTACAATTCTGTCCAGATAATTATCTATTCCTGACTCACCACTAATTCCAAACATAAGGAGACATTATTTTACCCGAAGACTGCTGCAATCAAATCAGTAACCAACGCGAACAGATCACTACTTAACCCTAAGCTATCGATGGAGAGGGTCAATAGAAGACTGATGCACCTTTTGAAACACCTGTGTGAAATTTGACCATGCATTATTCCATGTAGATACACGCCTGTGATTTAAAAGACGTAAAAACATGCAACTATGAATTCCTTGCGTGTCCATCTTTTCAAAAAGAAGCTGGGGTCCATATTTAGGCAGAAGTTAACTAAACATTTGTCTGTAGAAGCCTGAACTCATATCTAGTTGGCTAAGGAGACAGAAGTGAGGATTGTAAATAACTCACAGTCAAATATTAGTATAAACCACTAGGTTTCTGTGACTTCACCTGAACTGACTGGAGCGTGTTATCTTGAACTGATGCACCTCTGTACAAAGTCTCACGTGTTTAAATCGACCAATAATTCATGTTACATTAATACCAAAATTTGAAGATAATAAGAAGGAGACAAAAAAACGAAAATAGTATGATCAACAGTTGTCTAATGGTCATTAAGGAAAAGAAACGAAAAGTAAAGTGAGTAAAAATATGTGGCATTACAATTCAGATGAAGAGACTCAATTATCTTGGTCAATAGAATTATAAGAGAAATTCTACACAAACGAAATTATAACCATCATCTAATACTAAACTAAGTTATCAAGTATTTATTTAGGACAAGTACGTGCACTACTCAAAATACTGATATAATAAGAAAAAGACATCTTCTATATGCGAATCAACTTACATTGGTTGACGCCAGGCTGATCCATAAAGCTGGCTTAAACTGGCCTCGTCATTATGGCTGACAAAACCAATGGGATCAAAAGGCGGTAAGACGCCACCATCAAATCGTGCACTACGGTTGGCTAACTTTGAATCCATTTTTACAGCTTCCTTAACATCAAAGGTTACCGAGTCAGCATCTACCGAATCATTCAGTTGGTTCATATGGGAATGGAATGAATCCGCTTGACTAGTCAGTAAGATGGATATGTGCTTTTTCACGTCTAAATCCCAAAATTCAGAACCTATGTCAGAACATTCTTCAATAGCGTCTCGCAGTTTTGACATCTAGACACAAAACAGGAATTAAAATAAACTAATGAAAAGAATTTACGAAGACGTTAGAGGAAATAAACGAATAATGTTAACTATCCTGTTATTTATCTAGATGAAAAATAATTCCAACAGTTTGTGTGATCAGGTGCAATAATTACCAAAACAAAAAACTTATCATTGTGTATAAGCTATTGAAATAGAATTATTATTCACTTTTTTTATTCCTTTACGTTCCCAGCGGAACATAAGGCTTCAAGCTTCAGCTTTGAAGTTTCGGCATCAGTAGTATTTGTTTTTACGGGATGCAGTTGCTAGCCTCATGCCCAATCTCCCCTCTTTACGAGTCTTATTACCGGCTTAGCAAGGTAAAGGAGTGAGTCGGCCGGTGACCGAACCCCGAAACACCTGTCGGGTTGGTGAGCATCCTACCTCTGTGCCACCGATGCACACAAATTTATTAGATGAAAGTAATTCAGGATAATCAGAGACAGACTTGAAAAGGTACGAGTTATGATGGCAATTTATAATAATTCACCCTCAGAAAAATTTAAAATTCCATAGTTTTAGTATATTTGAGGATTTAATCACCACATATTATGAATCAACAGAATCCAATAGTTTGATTGGACACTAGCAACTAGTGTAATGTGTCTAGTCCTTTGTTTGATGCAGACTGAATTCTATCCAATAGTAGAAGATAATGTGTAATTAAGTATCATACTGTAAAGACACAAAAGTTAGGAAAAATAGTGAGGAATTTAAGATGCTTACTGCTTGTGATAGGCGCTCGAATATATCCTTATGTTCCCATTCGACCATAGTTAAGTCTCCAACATTTGTTGGTTTCCTGATTGATTTGTCAAAAGTGATGTCATGAATATCCTCGGTGAAACTGTGATACAATAAATCTGCTTTCTTCAAGTTTTGCGTGGAACTTCGAAGATCTTCGCACATTGATACTGAACCGGCAGGATTTTTCATTTGATCTTTGAATTTCGGTGCACTAAACAATTTCCTGTGCAAACTTATACTCTTCATCGTAGGTCTCTGAACTCTTGAATATTTAAGTGACGGTTTAGAGGTACCAGAATTTTCATATTCTTCAGCAGTATATTTCAGTTTAGCAGCAACGGGAGATTTTGGGCAACCAAAGCGTAATTCAGCAACAGTTTCATTGAAATCAGACAAAACGACAGATTCGGCGAGCTGATGATCACAACGACTAGAAGCTATAACATGATCAGCATTTCCGTCATCCATATTCTCAATTAATGTATTACAGCCACCGTATGTTGCTTCCGCTCGAGACAGAGTTAATCGGATGGGATCTGAAGAATGACGATCTATTTCACCAGAAAATGAAAGTGCCTTGCGTAATGGAGGAGCTTGGAATGAGGATTCGACTTCCACGGTAGCTAAGCTACGATTGATCATTTCCACTACCGAATTCTATAGATAGAGCAGGAATGAAAAAAGACTTAATAAACTAACACGGGAGATAACACAACTATCGTTACACCAGCAGATTATCATCAATGCAATCATGTCAACAATAGCAAGTTGCAATGAAAAATCGGGGTCAAAATTGAATAAAACTATTCTACTTTTCGTGAGGTGAATAAGCTATTCTATCGGCTGAACAAAAGGTCTGGAATATACAATCAGAATAAATTACACATTTCTCTTCTGTTTGTCTCCTGGAAATACTAAAAACCAATGCTTGGAAACTTATGTACTCTCACCTTGACAATACTCAGATTTTGGAAATTCTCAACAACCTTCAAACTATTGTGTTTCCTGTAAATATTCGTCCATTGTAGTTTTCGCACTTTAATGTCTGTTTTTCCAAAATGTGACAACCTGAATAGATGCACTTTCACGCAAACTTTAACAATGATAGGTCAGTCAGCTTTCCTCCTAGTGAGTGAGTAGTATTGGGGACTTTTTTGTGACAAATGAAATACCCATCATAGAACCGAAAACAAAACAAATCAATCTGATGACTTTTCCCTATCCCCACAAATACTTAACTTTATGCATTTCAGTCAATTAATTAACACGGATGCTGGCAGAAGACTGACCTATTTATTTAAAACCAATCATAAAAGAATACAGAAGTTATGAAAATTAACGTATATACAAATTCCAATGAAAGAAACAAAACGGAACAGATTGAGAAGCAGCTCACAGACGTCTTGAAGAGAATGAAGGCCAGTCAACTAATCAGTGAGGATATCTATGACCGGGTCCGGCCAACAGGTTCAATAATACCAAGACTTTACGGTCTACCAAAGGTACACAAGGTTGGTCTCCCACTTCGTCCAATTCTGGATATGTCAGGTTCTCCTTACCACTCTATTGCAAAATGGCTAGCAGATATTCTGGAACCTGTAAGGCAACAATTATGTACGCACTCGCTCCGTGACACCTTCCAGTTCATCGACTGCATACAAGACATGAATGTATCTAACAAAATTATGCTGTCCTTCGACATTGAGTCACTTTTCACCAATGTCCCACTCACGGAAACGGTCTGCTTCATATGCAAATATATAGATGACAACCATCTCAATATTGGAATACCAACAACATATTTGAAGGAATTACTATTGAGATGCACTCTGAACGTCCAGTTCATATTCAACGACACCATCTACAGACAAAAAGATGGTATCACAATGATCTCCGTTAGGTCCACTACTATCAGATTGCTTCGTCGCAAGCCTCGAGAAAGGTCCACTAAAGCCAAGCATTGACAATTTGCGACTGTATAAAAGATACGTAGACGACATATTCATTATTTGTGACAACAACAATGACCCCAATCTACTGCTGAAGACATTTAACTGTTGCCATCCAGCAATAAAATTCACTCTTGAAATGGAAAACGAGTCAAAAATTCCGTTTCTTGATGTGGAACTAACAAGAAGAACTGATGGGAGCCTAAGAAGATCGATCCATAGAAAACCTACTTGGAATGGTCAACTAACAAGCTTCTATAGCTGGGTACCCATTCAACAAAAGCGAAATTTAATTAAATCACTTGCCACCCGCATCCGACGCATCTGCAGTCCCGACGCTCTGGAAACAGAATTAGATATTCTAAGAGAAATTTTCATCCAAAATGGATACCCAATGAGATTCATCGACAAAAATATCAAACCAAGAATTCGGAGAAACGAAACTCTACTTGCGCCAAAAAAGAAACTCTACATGAACCTGGATTTCAAGGGAGATTTAGCAAGCGATATTCTCAAGAGAAGGATCACATCATCTCTGAGAAGAACATTCTTTGCAGCAACGCTAAGAATAGTGTTCTCCAGTCGCCCACTGATCTGCAGAAGCCTCAAGGACAAGATCCCGCATCTGACCACTTCTATGTGCATATATCAGTTCACCTGCTGCTGTGGAGCCAGGTACATCGGTCGTTCGACGCGCACCCTGTCCAAGAGGATTCAAGAACACTATCCAGCATGGTTGCGAAAAGGCAATAGTGGTGCAATAAGGAGTGCGATAATTGAACATCTGGTTAACACTGATCATTCCATTTCAACAAACGCCTCCTTCAAAGTAATCTACAGAGTCAAGAACAACCTATCAAAGGCAATACGGTTTCGCCTTCTTTGTATCGCTGAAGCTCTGGCCATTCACATAGAAAAACCGGAGCTGTGCATACAAAAGAGGATTACTCAACCACTTCTACTGTCTTGGTAACAACTTTTTTGATTTTGATGACTTAATTTTGTTTCTTTGCCTGTTCTTTAATTGCTTATAATTCTTGTATTCATTTAGAACTCTTACGTAATTTCGTATTATCTACTTTGTTCCTATGTGCATCCTGAGTAAAACTCACTCATCAAACTATTCATATTATTACATAACTTCTTTTAACAACTGTTTGTGACAACTCATCACCTTTGTTACTACCCTAATTTCACTAACACCTAATTTTCTTGACTGATTTTGTATTACGTAACTCCAATTACCAATCTTCACCTGTTTAGTTTAAATAACTATAACCAATTGTATTTTTGTTTGATAAACTTATTGTACACATACATACAAAATAACACATATATATTTGCGATTGTACAGCTAAGAAAATGAATTCGCCGAAAAGAGACTCTTCGCTGATCTACGTGTTTTGTTTTCATTTATAAAGTGTGTCAAAATAATTTTCAATGATTTATAGTGATAAATGAAAACAAAAATAGAATGGCTAATAAGTAAACTTACTTGCGTAAACCGAACATCATTCAACCTAAGCATTAAATTATGAATTAAATCATATAGGTTACGCAAACGACGAAGAGAATGCGTTTCTTTTTGATTATTCATTGTAGAATTGATACAAGGTGTAGTACAAGCATGACTACATTCATCATGTTTGCTTTCATCCAAGTCTACAGATTTTTGTGAATCGTGGCTTTTCACCTAAAATCAATTCGGAAAACAGAAATAACGATCAAAGATCACAATTGAAAAGATAAAGTATACCTCACCTGAGTATAGCAATACTCAGTCATTATCACAATTTACCTTAACAGTCAGTGAAAAATAAGTAACCTGACGGTTTCTATACACATATAAAAGTTGGTTGTATGAGAATTCGCGATTTCTATAGACAGTAAGCAGATGAAAAAAGAATCATAATATTAAGTCATGACTGGAGGAAAGGTTACCTCGTGAAACTACCAAAGAAGGGCAACTTAAGACTCTGCAAGAACTGGCGAGGAATCATGCTCCTGTCGACGCCAAGTAAAATCCTGGAGAGAATAAAGGATGCACTGGATACATAACTCCGACCAGAACAAGCTGGATTCAGGAAAGGCAAATCATGTTCTGACCGAATTGCAACTCTACGCATCATCATCGAACAAAGCATGGAATGGCAACCAAACCTCTACCTCAACTTCATAGACTTTGAGAAGGCCTTCGACAGCGTTGACCGCGAAGTAATTTGGAAACTACTCGAGTACTACGGCGTACCCCAAATATTCATCAACCTTATTCAACAGCTGTACGACAACGGCACATGTCAAGTGATCCACAACGGAAAACTCAGCGAGGCGTTTGGAGTAAACACAGGAGTCAGACAAGGGTGCTTATTATCACCAATGATATTCCTAATTGTGGTGGACTGGATTATGCGTCAGACAGTGGGAAACGAGAAGACAGGGATATCCTGGACCGACGTGAAGAACCTAGAAGACCTGGATTTCGCAGATGATTTATGTTTGATGTCACACAAGATCGAAGACTTACAAGCGAAAACCGACAAACTGGTCGAAGAAGCACCAAAGACAGGACTCCAGGTGAACATAGACAAGACGGAGGTTATGAAAATAACCAACCAACAACAACAACAACAGCAACATCCAGCGCCAATCACCATCAACGGGAGGGATTTGAAAGAGGTTACTTCATTCACTTATCTAGGGAGCATTGTCTCAACTACAGCAGGAACTGACGAAGATGTCAAATCGAGAATCGGGAAGGCAAGAAACACATTCATCAACCCGAAACCAATCTGGAAATCTTCGTCACTCAGCATCAGCAACAAAATTTGGATTTTCAATACAAACGTCAAGTCACTTCTTCTATACGGATCAGAAACTTGGCGGGTCACAAAGAATATTTCCAACAGCCTGTTGCAAACCTTTATTAACAGCTGTCTTCGTTCTATACTGAAGATCAGATGGCCGGAAAGAATCACCAACAAGAAACTATGGGAACAAACAAAACAAGAACCAATCGCCCAACAAATATGCAGGAGAAAGTGGAGATGGATTGGACACTCGCTGAGGAGGCCGCTGGGCGACATCGCGCGTCAGGCCATAGCTCGAGTGGAACCTGAAAGGGAAGCGGCGAGTGGGACGTCCAAGGGTGACATTGAGGAGATCGTGTGAAGAGGAGCTGAAACAGTTTGGACTAAAATGGATGCAAGTGAAAAGTACAGCAGAAGACAGAAGCAAGTGGAGACGTGTAGTTGAAGCTCTATGTTCCACTAGGAACCCAAGGCAACTATATATACATATATATATATATATATATATATATATATAATAAAGCCATGATGAACAACTGTTAACCAAATAAACTGCGTAGTATGGTTAAACAGAATTTTAGAACATAAACTAAAAATACGTTACATCAAGGCCTGTAGATTTTTTTTAAACACTAAGATGACAAGTACAGAACCGACACCTGAAGCAGAAGTAGAATAAACGTTTATGTAGCTTGCACTTTGTAAGTATTTCTTAACTGCATTAAGACTTACTTGATTCTTCTAAAATCTTCCCTCAAAGCGCATGGCACCACTTATATCAATGCTTACAGATTTACCTTAGTATCAAACTCTTCGGAAGCATCCGATTTACTTGAAGTAGGTATGATTAACTTTTTAATTCCACTTTTTTCTATATACACATATAACTCATAAGATTTCATAGAAAGTTATTACTCGAACAAATGCTTAAGTTCATTAATCCAACATGATACCATATTCAAACTAGGATGAAACAGTTGTCCAGTACTCCCTGGTTCTCTAACTGATATCAATCCTTGATCAACTCGTAAAAATAAACATATTGGTAAAATTTATTTTTTAAATAATAAAACTCACTAAATTCAATTGTTCATGAAGATCTTCAACTTCACGTTGTCTTCTTACCAATTGCTCACTTAAGTTATTCAAATCAAACTGTAATTTTTCACGAACAGACAGAGATGTATCCAACTTTTCAATTAATTCACTGATGTGACTGTTTAAACGCTATAAAAAGATGAATTATCAAAAGATAGGCTTATAAAATGAAGTATAGAAACACAGGTTAATATTTTGGGGGTGATAATACGCTTGACAGTAAGTGATTTGTTGATTTAATCAACTGGCTGTTAACAAACTTGTTCCAGATCTTAATTTACTTTACCAACAGTGACTACAGGATACTTATTTTATATAGGCAATGTGTAGTTCAGTAAACAAATCGGACCACAGTCACTACATTGCATTACTTGCAGAATAATATCCACAGTTAAAGATAATACCTAATGATATGCAGCAGTACAGAGTATTTAAAATTATGACGAGACTTGTGTCACTTCTCAATTTCAGTTTATTAATATCCATCAAACGACGACTGATCAGATGCAGACGGAGGTGCAGCTCACGAGATCAAACAACGGACAATCAAGCAGTGATAAATTATGACCTACAATCTTAATTTACTTATCGACGTTTAGATAACTATATATTATAACTATACACAAACCGGTGTGGCTCCTTGCGCAGTATACAAGTCTGTACACGGCTGGTGAGTGAAATTTTCTGAAGAACTGACTTATGCATACCATACGATGGTACCTTTAACCTCAGTATTATGTATATTCAACTTGACCATATAAATGAGGCAGACTTTGACGGCATTCGGTTAGTGGTGGCTAGTAGTGGTATATAGGCGTGTACTTCATCCTATTTGGGAATTGTCAGTCGGATTTACTTGCATTCTGTGTGAATGATAGTGTCCATAGTGAGACTCGAAAGAAATGTCCATTGTTTCAAACGCCAAAGCAAACAAGAAACTTCAATAAGGTAAAACATGATTGACAAGCACATCAACAATGAAAAGCTTATTAATAAATACAAACATAAAGAAATAAAGACAAACACAATAACCTCAATCTCTGCATCTTTCCGGCAAAGTTCTTCATGATTTAACTGCTTTTCTTTCTACAAAAAAGTAATTAGCTTTTCAAAATCTTGGTGTTACTCTTACCATTAGTTGGTTTTCAGCCATTTCATATTTATCTTTAAGTGCTGATAATTCTTTCTACAAAGAATAAAAATAAAAGGATATTGGATTTAAATGTTACTCCAACAACCACTTGTAATTCTATGCAGTTGGCAATGAGCCATACTTATTTTGTGAGGGCTAATTCTACAGCCTGGGGCTGCCCAAACCTCGGCGAGTGGAGCGAGGTTGGAACAGCGTGACACACTAGTTGGAAGTCGAGTGCCTAGACCAATGAGCCATAATTCCACAAGGCATTCGACTATGGAAATCAGATGCACTAACAAGAAGTGATTTTGTGAAAATGATAATAATATATAATCGTATAAACTCCTTTGCTTCATGAATTTTGAGTCGTATAAACTGAGTAACAAAGGTGGACAAAACTACAAGTAGTATGTCAGGAATATAAATCAATCAGCCACTAGAAAAAAAAGCATGTACAATAAGAACTGATCACACAACTAACCTATTAAAGTAATCAAGAGGAATATCAGTCAACCTGAGTTCCATTGTCCTTCATTATAAAAATTTGCACACCTTTGTCCTACTGACTTCCTGATTTCACAAATTTTGAGGATAATCGTAGAAACTAGGACTTCCACTACTAATTTTATAAATCCATCTCTGAGAAGACATTAATCCCATATTTGGATCACAGTAGCATGTTGTCACAAAATAAATTACTCGTGAACTCGACTACCCTTATCGAATTACCCGATGCAAGTGAATTTACCATTTAACTGAAGAACAATAAACAATACTTACTTCATGAGACGATTTCATTGAAGCAATTACTTTGTCGGTTCGAATTTTTTCATTTCCAAGTTCGAGGATCAAATGCCGTGCTGAATTTAAGCGATCTGTTAACCTGGCATAAGAATCTTCAGTTGGTTGCTGACTACGTAGATTGTTAAAATCTCTCAAAGGTGTTCTAACAACTGCATTTCCGTGACTAGAAGGACTTAAAGATGGAGATAAGTTAGTAACAGCTGTCGGACTCTTCACATTACTTTGGGGAGATTGAATACATAAGCTCTAAAAAAATGTTGAGAAGAACAGAATGCTGTGGTAAAGTAGCAAAACAAAATACATTTTTATCAAATCACTACTTGTTAAATTCAAAATGGCATACTTCCATCGCGAAAAAGAGTCATGAAAGGGATATTGAGTTTCATTTTGACAATAATTTCACTGCAGAGGAGAGCAATAGGATCTGTAATATGTGGATTCTGTGAAATTTTAGACTTAAAGCGCGCGTTGGAAACAATCGGCAGGCAGTCAGACATTCAGATTTTGTGCTTACTAAGTAACAGAATTCGGTCAGAACTAAAGATATTGGTTATTTCTTAATGACCGATAATTGTTTATGAAACAACATACCGACGAAGGTCTGAGAATTCGGTTTAGTGAAAGCGAATTTTCATCTTAACGGAAAGTGAAATGTAGACAAAAAAAGGATGAAAGTTCGTCAAATCTGTAAAATCGTAACCCCATACACTACCGTTTAAAGAATTATAAACATCGAATCACTTCCCACCTATTGGCGTAATCACATATTCCCACATTAACTTTCTCAACCAACTGATTATAATACGCCCAATTGTCCAATTTTCGGTTTAATCTTTAGTTTAGAGGAATACATTGTCTGTAGTCAAGATTTGAGTTGTTTAGGAAAGCTAAAGCAATAGTACATAGGACTTTGAAATCGGTCAAACGTTTATTTTATGACTAACTTGACTGTGACCTATAGTTTAATAAATCAGCTGCAATTCCGAAGAGATGTTGCATTTTAGTGTAAGTGACTGTTTTTCACTCAATTGATCCCGGGTTTAAACCGCACACAGTGACAACCAAGTATCACTATTTGCCTTCACACATAAGAGTACGATCCACAGACCATTAAGTGGAAAACCTGTACCAACTGATTTACAGTTTAATTTACGCAATGCACTGCAAGATTCTAAAAGATAGTGATTATCACGATATCCTCATTATGAATTATATTAGCAGTATATGACTGACAACACACTGAATAGTAATCACCTACTTCTGAAATCCCAAATGAATGGTACTACGGGACGTTTGGGGCACATGAATCTTACTGACTTAGGGACTTAACTTGCATGAGATAAGTCCAGGTTTCAAATTTCGCCCTACTTACTCAAAACTGAAGAATCAGGCAGTGACACTGACTCTCATACATCAAGCGTGGTTTATATCGTAGTTTCCGACCACAACGAGTTAGTAAACTAAGGTATAAATTCCAAATAGTAGTCAGCAATCGTTTAAATTAATGTCTTAAAAAATAAGAACAATCGACAGAAAGTACACAGAGAAACAAATTCTGAATCTGCTGACATCTATCAATAAAACTGACATGTAGTCTCCAGGACAACAGAAACTCCACTACATTTATGAAGGCTGGTGTAGTCAAGCAGTGTTACTTGTACTCGCAAAATAGATTTGGTGTAAAGTTTAGTGTAGATATCTATGCATAGTTATGGAGTTACTGAAGCTTGCAAAAAAATTATGCGAAAGCTACAAATATTCTTAAATATGGATACGGCTATACATGATAACAGATTCTGCAAAGCTATCTCCAATTTATGAGTACACAACTTTTAAAATGTTTTATAAATTTAGGGAAAATCAGGCAGAAAGCCCTGAGACCACATTGCAGTCATACCTACAATAAATTACACCTGGTAACAATACGTCGCAGACATAGATGGGCTGAAAACAATCAGTGACTGATACACAATAAACGTGTTTGGAATTCGATACCTAATAAATGAGAGTAGATGAATATGTGATTGGATTTCCTCCTCTATAAAGGTTAGTGCGAATACATGTCTTTAGATACATTTTCAAAAAAATAATAAAACAAAGATTGACAGCCATAATATTGATGAGAGAAATATATTGATGGGTAAATATCTAACTAGCTTACTTGAATAGATTTGTGAAGATCACCGGAATCAAAATCTTTAACATCAAAATGAGATTTATTAAGAGATTCCAATGTTGCACGTAAATCATTAGCTTCTGTTTGAAACATTTGAATTTCGCGTCTGTAACATCTATTGTTATGCTGACTGGAGGCAAGTTCTGCTTGAAGCCGAGCTATGGAACTAAAAAGATATAGCAATAAGAATATTTCCAATAGCATTAGCATGAATTGCGATAATCTGGTTCATTAGTATGCAGCAAACGTGCTTATTTCAGTCACTGTACCAAACTCACATGAAGCACTTCGTAAAGGTGGACAGATGACTTTCACGCTTATTATTGAAAGTGATAAAATGCTGAAATCTCGGTTATCAAATACAATAATTTGAAAACTTATAAGTAAGAGGCCTTCCATCATAGGTGTCTCAGCCCACTTCCCCGTGTTAGGTGGACTAATATGATCATCAATAACGCAGTGAAGTGGAGCGGGAGGTAAGTTGGGAAATTTAATCGATGATGTATTAGAGCTACACCAAGTTAAATATGAAACCCCCTTCCTCGCTAGCAATGTTAGCTGAAATAGGATTAGATTGGAAAAGAGTTAGGGGTGGTAAGACAAAACATGACATCACTCCATAAATTCTTCGACTGTTGACTTGAGTCACGAAGGGAGGTGTATGTAGCATTTATGGAACCATTGGGGAGCTAAGAATCAATAGTTGAAGACTATTTGTAACATGGGTCAAAATCCTCCACATTCAGATTTTGAATACTATTACTAATCCTTTTCTAGATATTTACTCCTGTAAATCCTTGTTCATTTCAGTTTAATAACATTTCTTTAAGCTAATTGCATGTGAGCTTCTGAAGTGTCTTAACTTGAACCGAAAAAACTCTGTGAAAAGCTCTACGTTGATAAGTAAGCCAATCATGAATATCTATAAAATAATACAGAAAGAAAACTATATAGGCAAGGTGGATAAATAAAGCATTACAGGTAGCAACCTGATACCTATAGCACAGAAATAATATCCCATCAATTTTTTTTTTGAAACAGAATTAGGCAAATCATCATATTTTCTATTGAGTCCTCATTATTATTGTATTATTATTAGTGTTTCCTTTAATTCCTAGAGGGACATAGGGCTTCAGCCAAACGTCTCCATTGCGTTCGGTTCTCTGCCAACAAGCCACAGCTCTACATCAAACCTCGCCTAGTTAACTAGCTCGCTAGTTTTCTAGCCGGTCCCAAGTTCGGGTAAAGAAGGAGGTAGGGGCGTGGGGCTAGCAACCCCACATCAATAAATCTTTCAAACCACTAGAGAAACTTCAACACACAAAATATATATTAAAAATACAAAAACTGCAAATAAGAATCTTATTATTCGTTCAAATCAGAGAAGCGAAATGACATGGGTTAATGAAAGCCCACCTTTAGGAAGCCAGTCAGCCGATGTGTCTTCTCTCGATGAAAGCAAGAGTAACAATGGGGACGTAGAATGTCCGTACAGTGTACGAAGCTGGCTGGGAAGACTGCCCAGGTAGCCAAAGAAATGCAAAGATGTAGCTTAGAAGTACTGGCTATCTGAGAAAGTAGGTGGAATAGATGTGGAGTAACAACATTGTCAACGGGAGAGTCAATAATCTACTCCAGTCTGGTCACTCAGACGACAACCACGAACACACCAAGGGAGTGGCCATCATGATGTCACCAGTGGCAGCCAAAGCCCTAATGCAGTGGGAACCAATCTCCGCATACAGGATTATGACAGCAACATTCAACTCAAAACGAAGGAAGGTAACAATTATCCAGTGCAACGCACAATGCTACAAACAACGCGGAACAAGGGAAGAAGAAAGAGTTTTATAAACAACTACAAACAGTAATGGACATCCCAAATGGTGATATCAGAATCCTTATGAGCGATATGAACGCCAAACTGGCAGCAGATAATACTGGAAGAGAACTCATCATGGGTCGAGAGGCTGGCGCTCGAAGAAATTAATAAGAAAAGAGAATTATTCGCAGACTTTTGCGCTTTCAATGATCTGGCGATCGGAGGCAGCGTGTACAAACACAAGCATATACACAAGGCCAGCAACATGGATTTCGCCTGGCGGACATACCACAAAACAAACAGATTTCATCTCAATCTCAAGGAAGTGGAGACGCAACCTGTTGGATACAAAGTCGAAGAGGGGAGCAGATGTGGGCTCAGATCATCATCTAGCACTAGGAACCTTCAAGGTGAAGCTGAAATCCATGAAAACAACTAGAGACAGGCCACAATTCAAGTTCAACATTCAGAAAAGAAAAAAACCGCAACGGATACCTTCACTATAGATATCAGAGCAAAGTCGGAGACACTACGTGTTATCACTGAGGACACCTGTGTGGAAGAACATTGGAACTCTCTGAAGGTGATGTTCAAGGAAACGTGCACATCCGTTTTTAGAATAGAAAAGTAGGCAAGTCGAGGAATGGCTCTCAACGGATACCTACCTGGAAGCTAATCGAAGAGAGGAGGATGGTGAAAGATGACCCAATGCAAAGATGCGCAACAGAAGGAGATGCTGAGTTCAATGTACACTGCACTGAATAAAGAGGTGAAGAAGAGTGATAGGAAGGACAAAAGACAATTCTACGATACACCGGCTGACAACTGAAGTAGAACAGGCAGGCAGCAGGTAAGAGAGACCTCAGGACACTATATGAAATAACCAAGTCTCTATCCAGGAAGAAATCAACCCACATGACGAAACCAATAAAATACGTTCAAGAGAAGCTGATTATCAAGGAGGAGAGACAAATAAAACAATGGGCTAATCACTTCAAAGGACTCTTGAATCAACCACCGCCGGCAACTCGCCCAGAAATATCACCAACACCATGTACAGAACTGCCAATCACCAGGATGAATGTCTTTGTTTGAGAGCTTATGCTACTATCCAGTTACTGAGGTTAAGACCTATGAACCATGCATTAAAAACCTGGTATTGTGAGCAATTGTAAAGACATTTTTAGTGAGTTAAACCAATGATTTATGGCAAGTCTCAGAGTCAATGAATTCACAAACATCTTACCTTTGAAGTTCATTTTTACACTTGGCGAATTCTGTCTCCTTAGCTAGTAGTGACATTTCCAATGTACGGACTTTTTCTTGTGCACTTTTCAGTTCAGATTGTAAGGTATCATACTTATCTCGCCAATCTACGACAAAGTAACTTTTTAACCAGGAAACAAACCATTTTCACTTTTATCATATTTTCCCTTCAAATCATCAATATGCTGATGAAGTTGACTGTTTTCTTCTTTCAAACCATCAATCACTTTTCTAGAAAAAGTTACTCAAATGATTTGGTTATAACTCACGAAGTAGAATTTAGCTCCTGACTTTTCCGTTTAAGTGCTTCCCTCAAAACAATTTTTTCCGACTCATCATTATATACTCGCTATTTATCAAAATTATGTGTGTTTATATGATTTACTGTTGACTCCAAATCCTGAGGATCATTTGACCGACGATACATCTTTTCATAGTTGTACAACATAAGTCTAAGCCTAAAGTTTTCACGTCTCAATTCACCCACATTCTAAAGTTGCTGGTGAAAACACAATTGAAGAATTACTTGCTCAGTATTTGCAGTATTTTCTACATTGAGTAGATCTGGAAACATTTAACTGGAAAAAGTAAACTACTTACTATTTGTTGAGTAATTATTATAGCTCTGTATATTGCTTCTGTTGGATTTTCTAAATCTATTACTATAATTAAATCTCTAGATACAAATAGTAGTTCTCACCTCGGCTCAGAATTGGTGTCCATTTAAATTGTTTTAGTTTGAAAACCTAAAATTAATTCAAATTAAAAATATTAGCATGACTTTCCAGTGTCCACTAGACATTAGATATCCAGTGTATTAGCGTATAAAGATATATTTCTACTGAGGACAGGTCATATGCCTATCTGATAAGATCAATGTGACGACAATTTCTAGATTCAAACAATCTATTTTCCAATGAATCTCAACTCACTAATAGGGGTCTAGGTAACTAAATTATATTGTCTCGTATGATACGGATCAAACTGCAAAGATTCACCAAGCTACTTAGCATCATCTCTGCCATTAAGATAAGTTGAGGAAGAAAGACTGAAAAGAGAATAATCATGCCACAATAGGTTTGCAAATGTCAAAAAGTCTATGCGACGTACAGAAGTACAGCCACTACGGACAACTTACATCCTTACTAGGTATTGTTTCACTATCAGACACGAAAAATGGATAAACAAAAATACAAAGTTATATCTCACCTCACCTAATTATGTACAGATAGAGTTGACTGCACCTTACAGTGATGACTTATCGAAAAAAGAAAAATAGTACTGCCACAAGTACAATGTCATACATAACAGTTAATTTAAAAGATTGTCAGAATTTTCGCTCGTAAAATGTCATTCATGAACATTACATTGTAACAGAAAAGTGTAATCCACCTTGATCCAAAATAGAGAATATTCTAGGGTCGATAATCGTAAGACTAAGTGGGGCTGGAATACAACAGAACTGAGACACTCAACCAAGAAGATTCATATATCAGATTACGTTAACATAAGTTCTTGCCATGTTCCTTGGTAGCTTATGACTTTAACGACCGAGTAGTATACCAATATCCCGTTACGAAGCGAATAAAATATGTAATCTTAATTATTACTCTCTTCGAAATCAAAATAATTGTAAGATTAACAGAGGGCTGTCGTGTAAACTGTGGATAGGAATTTATATTTAGAGGAAATACCAACTCTCTGTATTCTTATTTTATCTTGCCATATATGCATTACTGGAGGAAAGTGAGCTCGTTCTCCCACTTCTCAATAGCTGACTGAGAAGGAATTAGTTACTTAAGAGTACATGCACAACACATTAGTTTAGTGACACTAACAAGTGAGTATTTGAAGTATGTAATAGGAGTCACGCAACGCCAATGCTGGAAATACGGAAAATATTGCTGCCGATAAAACCAAAGTGAGAGATAACAGAACTAGGTAACCAAGACTAGAACGTTATTTGAGTCCCTTCATATGATTGCGAACAATAAATTATCCTTGGACTGTGTATGGGCATAAATAAACTATAGCAGCCAACCCGGTACCAGACCGACGAAAACTATTCAGAGTTACAGATGTTCTGTTCTGAATTTGCTGAACGAATCCTAGGACGATTGAGTGTTTGATTACTGTGTAAATAATGGATCGATCAGAGTTACTAAAATATCAGGCCTGTGAGGAGGAAGAACAAGAAGACTGATCTTTTGTGAGGATTCGGATTTCGAAGCAAAGAACAAGATCTAGAACATATACATATCTTAGAAGACCGTGATATATAGTCATCTTTCTCACAATTTCGTAAGTTTTATCTCCCCTTAATTCTGACCAGTTGCTCAAGGCCTATTGAGGTGGCTGGTGTAGTTTAACTCCTCTGTCATGCGCTACATCAAGTAATATTATTCTCTTATGGAACTGCATCAGTGCGAAAATCCTATTCTTATATCGATGAAACCCTAGCCCTCTATTCATTTGAATCATTAAGGGATGTACAAGTCACACCTCGTGTCATCAGACACATTCACGAATAAATTTACACTAAAAGATAAGCAAGAACATATTTTCAGTTGAACCAAAACAATACATCACTGAAAGGAGTCACATACAGTAGTATACACCCTCAAGTTCACTAAAGTAACGTTGTCTTTAAAAACTGATACTGTACGATATCTATTTACTAGCAAGGACAGGGCTGCTGATAAAAGAAGATAAGTACTGACTCGAATATTAGACGGGATCATGCATTTACACATCAACAGGCAGTAGGAAGAAACAAAATACTAGTGTAAACCAGACTGAGGAAGTTTACAGCTTTCTCAAATGGTTAACTTGTCTTAATTAAAATTGGACCTGGCTTCTATGCTGTCCCAACAAATGCATTACAGTGCCGGTGGTCAAACAATCAAACAATTAAGGAACACAAATATACCATGCTTAGTTTTTCAGACAACTGCAGAAAAGTGCGCTGTATGCTCAATACAAATGAGTAACGGGATATTTGACACTATATATGGTTCAATTTGGTGAACATTAAGACATTTCGTATCCATGCTGAGACTTGGTTACCCAGAAAAATTATGGAGCCTACGCATCTTTCAAGGTAAAATTACCTTACAGGAATACTCAAATTTTCGTCCATTCTGTGATCGTACTAGATACATAAAGTTGTTTCAAGAATTACCAACAATTTTTTCGACAGAATCAAACGTAACGTCAGTTGCAACAAAGATGACCCCAAAAATGAGTATTTACTTGTTCAATAACGCTGCCTAGTACGTGCATTTGGTCGAAGGAGTCTTGAAAAATACACCTGAGATAATTGAACTAAGCCTATCTCAGATACAAGAGCCCGTCAAAACAAAGTGGCTAACAATAAAAGGAAATAGAACTTAAGATGAAATAAACTGATGTTAACCTCGCTAACACACCTATTTTATACAATTTTCGAGTAATGCAACAGCAACAGTGCAGTAACTTGTTTCACACGTGCTGAGCCAACTTTCACTTCGCCTCTACGTTACATCTTCGGGGAAGACTCCAAAGCTCTCAACTTCCTGAACGAAACCGCTTCAAATTGCAGTTTTTGATTTATTAGGGCTCACAGAGTATATTTATCAAAACACACACGACGTTAGACTATCAGAATGCATTGACTCTGTCAAAACTTTGAGTGCAGTCAATAAAACTTTATGCAAAGATTCCACTTAACAGAAGTGTTATAAGTATTCGAAAATTCCGCAGAAAGCTTCTGAAATGTGTCCGAAGCAAGTGCTATGTGTATGCGCATATGTGCCTACGATACTGTGTCCCAGAATGGGCAATCCTTTCAGGGATACAATATGTCGAAGTACGCACTACTAATAGCAGTACTTTGTTAGCTATATTACACTGATATTCCACCCTAGGACCACGGCACATTGCCAATGTCTAGTAATAGACAGACAAGGTAAGTACATTTTTCTGTTACACATTCGTCAGCGATGCAAAGAAGACCGATAAAGACTTTCTAAACAACTCAATGGATACTGAGGAAGCTGCCAGAGAAGTTGGTTACATCAAACGACTATATCCAGTTTTCAGTCTTTTAGATGACCTTTTCCCCCGATTCCAAGGTATCAACTTATCAAGTCCAGCATTGTGACTGATGCTTTCTGTAAAATCATGAGATGTAAGGTTAATTTATGAAGTATTTATTTCTGTAGCTGTTATTATGGCGGAGGTTTCTGACCAACTAACGTCGTCTAGAGAGGTTGAAGGCATAAAAGGCAATGCCATGAAGTTTCACTTTCATAGTTTGAAAGATCGCATCCAGAGGCGTAAACAGAAGAAAGGAAATTAGATAATATTACAAACACATAAACCTACTTTTAAAAGCTATAGTTTAATCAATACTTGCTAACTGTAACTATTTTTTATCTCTAGGGAAATGAAAAAGCCCTGGGAGAAAACAGCAGCAGCTATGCAAGTACATCTTTCTAAATGTAAACGCCTGTTTACAAGATGCTGTCAGTGGACCTTACTTAAAGGACTTGCACTAATATTGTATTGCAATACAATGAAATGAAATATTCCAAATAAAAAAATGATTTTTTTTCTGCAAACTCAAAGAATTTCATAAGCATAAGATGTAGTGAATGATAATTAGCAGCACTGTTTTTATGGCTTGAAGTTTGCTGAAAAAATATTCGTGAATCGCACCAGAATACATGTGAACAATGATAAAAGACTGCTGGTCAGAGCTTAAATAGGGCTGAAAAAACGCTGAAAACAAATGCTAATAGGCGTTGAACAAATACAATTAGTTGTGAAATGATGCCATTCAGCGCTGAATCAGGGCCAAGAGAGCTGAAATAAGGCCAATTAGGTTCTGAACTGCTTCTGCAAAGGCTGAGAAAAGCACAGTGTACTGAATTATTGCCAGCAATGCTGAAAACTAGCACCGAGTTCCAGTTTGTGAGGAAAATCAAATCATTTTATAACATTTTCAGAATCTTATCACCATATGAAGTCATAGTTATTGTAGAATTTGCGAAATTTACTTCAGCCCTATTGTAAGTTAGGGATCCGTGGCTTCCAATAGTCGACTATAGGTCCGAAACATGACTAATATCAACCACTAAATACTGACCAATAACGATCGCGAAAAAACCCAATGCAAACTACTGTACTGCATATTTCTGACATGATTAACTTAGAACCTACATTTAAGAAACTAAAAACCAAACCCCGGAATCCCAACTTGATATCAAAATTTAACCACAGGATGGTCGCGCCGTTTCCTATTGGTTGCTAATGTAGTTTGAAATAACAAAACCATACAAACAATACTTTTTGTATGATATTTTTTGTATTCTTATGCACACAGTACAGTCTGGATAGATGAGTGGGTTGAAGTAGCAATTTAATTTTGATTGAAGGTGCTTCGAAGCAATTCCAACCACATTTTTTTAAATCGAATTGCAGCTTCTATGAGGAGGAACTTCCGATCGCTCTAACTGTTTCTTTCCTGACCTCACTTTAGGAGTACTCCAGGTCATTACAATTAAAATATCTAGGCTACTTTGAGGCCATCTGCAAAAATGAGTGGTCTGCGAAATAATGAACAACTGCGTATATCTCTGATAGAGTGTTAAGGGTAGGATGCTTACAACACAGTCAGTAGTGATTGGTGTAAGCTTACAAGTCACAGACTTAAGTCCATTTATATGGGCTTGGTGTTAAGAAATGATTTAAACCATCCCAACAACTGGTCACCTCTGACTAAGGAATTCAGCAAACGTACCAAAAACAAACGATCTACCAGGCCAAGTATCTTAGAGATGTCATATTAGATAACGAATACTAGATAGGATCTCTCCTTGTTGCTAAATGAAAAGTCAAGGAAGCAGATAATACATGTTAAGTACTTTAGGAATACATCCCTCCTTGAAATTATGATACAGAAGCCAAGAATAAGATGAAAAAGGTTTTTACTCAGTATGTGAAAAATTGCAAGTGCTACGTCTATTAACATTTTTTCAAGTTCTGTAGTTGCAATTTTATGAAAATCAGGCGATTTCATTGTGGGTCTTGGACTGTTGTATGTTTTTTTGTTTGAATGCACATTTTGTTTACGGCGACCAATTTGTGTTCGGCCGTTATGTTCTTAGGGGTGATGATAAACGTTATCGTGATATATTATCGCGCACTGTATGGGTTATCGTGTTCACGCCTATAGAGGCGTTATAAGCGTTTATTTTTGTGAAAGCAGATTATATATGACTGGTTTCAGGCTTCTATAGCTGAAAAAGCAACATTTTCCAGTATTGTGTCCGTATTAATGGATAAAACTGTCATGATATATACAGAGGATGTATTACTTCAAGAACTCATCGTATATAAGAAATTTAGCATAGAAAGACTATTATTTGCGTTTCAGAGCCGTAATGGTTTGTTATTTGCTAGTTTTTTGGGGATATAAAGGTTGAAAATTAACTATAGGCAATGGTTGCTTTCATAGCAGTTATTCTATGATAACGAGACATTTGAAGGAGAATTAGCCCGCAGACACAAGTTAAATATACGTTTTGAGGATGCCAAACACTTTTTTATCACCATCCGTGATGATTGAAATATTCCATAACACATCGAAGAGAGCATGCGATGAATGAGACAATCTGCTGAATTTCCTGATGATCATATCCATTTCGATGAAGTTTCTAGTTAAAATCGCTCTGGTGATTGCAATTCATAACCCAAATTATTGTGCCTGTAGAGATGTCATCCATTCCTTGTAAACACCCGTTTACACGACATATTAAATTATTATTTGCTTGGTGCTATACTTTAGAAGAGGAACAATGTGTGTGACAGTGAAAACCGCAGAAGAATGCTGTCATGACCAAAGAATGAGAAAGGAGAATGAATCTTTTTCAGCAAAGGTAGAAAAATGTAACGCGTTTCACTTTTACATTACTTATTTCTAACTTCAACGATTTAAAAATTACACTTTATTCACTTACTTGCAGATGTTCGGTGAAGTCAGTCAACCTGGTCACAGCAATTACGCATCCCCGAAGTAATTACGAAAAACAATTGTGTAAAGACATTCGCTTATTATTTTTCATTAAATATATTTAACATCCTGATTACCATACTTTTCTTATTCTATCTCAGTGAAACTAAATTTGTCATTGTGACGAGATGGAGGCCTGACCTATCAATGAAACCTGAGAAAGTAATTGTAGGCATAATTCAACGTAAGCGAAATCGTACTAATATTGCTACAGCTCAGCCTATTAAATTACTCGTCTCGTGTAGACTTCATTTTACACTATATGTTAACACCCGTAGGCATATGGATTGACATCACGCTTTAAGTGAAATAATAGTAATACACTACTTGTGATTATACTTAACTTCATACGAAATCGAACTCAACTACAGGGCCTAAGTTGTATTCTTATTTTTCAAATACTGAAGTAAGGTATTTTTGTGATTAGTCCCTACAGATTAATCTATGACTGGGAGACGTAATCGCGTACTTCTAGGTAGATTTTTAGACTTGAATGAAGTACTTATAATTCACCACTTTTATCGATGGATAGTGTTCCTACAGAATTGCACTTACGTATAGTAACGAATTCATATCCTAGGGAGCACCGGTCTAGCATCCCGTACTCCCAACGCGAACACACGAACAGAAAGACAACAATGTTAAAAGGAAAAGTTTATTTTTATTGTAATACGGAAGTAGTTAATTTACACATTAAGAAAATGGTCCATTTGTGCGATTACTTCTCCCGCGTAATCTGCGGCAACCACATAGTGAGTGCAGGACAACTACATTGTTAGCATTAAATGACTTCCTCACTTTTTGAAATTCTCATAATGAATTCTCAAATTCCTCCCAGCTAAAGAAACGCCTTCCCAGCATTACTTCACCGAAAATTCCACTGACGTGTGCAATGCTTTCACTCGTATTGCCTACCTGCAATAAACTAAAAAGGCTTTGTCAATAAGTATCCATCTGTCTCGCAACTGTTTAAATATAATTCCGTAGAAAAAGCAATATTGAAATACATCACTGAGCAATATCCATCAATAAAATGCTACACGTATAACCTAAAATTGGGAAAAGCCCAAGAACTCACGGGTTCCTTGACATCGCCAGCAACCGATAGGCCAACAAACCGAGTATATGATAAACCAAGCCTTGTACATGCACAAAAGAAGTAAAATAAAACGTTAGAATAATCAAATTTTACATTTATTTTCATCAAATATGCTTGCAAACAACGCATACTTCAACCACACAAACCTGCACACGATATCACCTACCTAGGACAAATTAAATATAAAATTAGCCGCCACTGTTCCAGCCAATGAAAGACGAGAAAACCTGAGGCGCGGAAAATTTAACACGTTCTAACGTATATCATCACCCGTTCTTAGTACAGCCTGTGGATGGCGTAAGTCATTTGGTCAGCTGATGTATACAAATTGCATTGATTAGAAAAACCTAAAATTATGCTGTGTTCATTGTGTTTTGCACTTTTATGCTGATATGCTTGCCAAAAATTGATGGAATGCAGTGATGTAGGCAAAATCAGGAAAATATAGTGTTTTTTGGTAAATATTCACCGGTTCTTTAAGAAAGTGTAAGGTGACTAAAAGACACCATAATGACTTTTAGTGATGTTTTCTTTGCAGTTCGATGGGTGAAACATCGACCTAATTAGTTGGGCTATTTCGTTTCGTTAATTGTCTTCATTTCCTTTGTTGTCTGCCCTTGTTGATGGTTGCAAAGCTCCTCCATGTGTATCTCTTTAAGAGAAACCCACACAAATATCGAGATATTACAAACGCGTAGAATTCACTTTTTTACGGCATAGACTTAATGTTTACAGACAGATGCAGTGATCTTTTTCTGTGTTACAATTTTTGACTGATGTAACTGTACACAAATTGAAGGAATTTTAGTATTTTGTAGTGGTTTAAGAAGTTAACCTTCACATCAATAGTAGTAATCCCGTTTATAGCTTTTAGACCTATTTCTTTCCCCTGTTTAGAGGCTGACGGTATTGACGTTCACGGATAGTACGAAGTACTAACACAAGATCTAATATCCACAGCTTCTATAGTATTCGTTCCGCGTAGACCAAAGGCAAAGCAAAACACAATAGCTGATCGTCCAAATTTCGGGACCAAATCAGAGTGCGAGAGGATTGCTTAGCTGGCAAGGGATCGTGCACGAACGCGATACAATGGAGTACTGAAATGGCGTGGATGCTTGACCGGAAGCCTTCAGCTAGAGAAGTTGACTTAAACAGTGAAGATCAGCATCCAATGTTCAGTGATGAGTGTTGTGGTCAATAATTTTGGGGAATTATTAACCGCTACACAGGTAATAGCTAATTTCGGTAAATTCATGGCGCTCAATGCCGAAGAAAATGCCTTCCACAATGTCGTTGATTTTGAATCACATGTTAATTCCTTAACAAACTTAGTATTAGTTATTCGTCTGTATATTCTGCTTGATAAGACTGAATATTAACTTTTGCAATGGTAGTGAGCTAGAGGCTTCATGAGGTTATCTTTGAATTATGGAGTGAAAGTGTATGTGCAGAGTTCAATGATAAAAAGATTATGTTGTCGCCAAGTGAAGTAAATATATCACATCTCAAAGAACGTATTTAAATTGTAAAGCGTTTAGAGTTAGCCATCGTCTTAGCAGAATACTACAACTGACTCACGATTCGTAGTCACGAAGTAAAAATGAATCTACTTGAGAAAGTTCGCTTGTGATTTCTGGGCGGTGTATTGTACCATGAGCAAACGACCGTACATATACTTTCAGACATATAACTCAGTGTAACTACGGTTATTATAGTAATGATTGAAAACCGAATGCCCGCGGATCGCAGCCACAGAACACGGTACGTTACTATCTGCTCATCTAATCGCATCAAAAATGTTTCCCAGACGCCTCATTTATTCCTAATAGTTAACCCTTAATTCCCACCCTAGCATGTGTTACTAATGTTACTGGGGCAGTCGCATTACAACAGAAGGAACACACATTCACTGCATTATTAACATGGATAGGACATGTATTACCTGAATAGAAAAATTTTCTGGATATCTGCCTGATAAAAATTTACAAGTAATCACTTTACAAACAAAATTTAGAAGTAGTCGAATAGTTTCCACTAAACCTAAAGGACTTCGCAGCTCTTTCGTTGGTTGATATCTCGTAAGTCCATCGAAACATCATGAAATCGTGGAGCTATTTATGAGGCAATTCCCAA